CAGAGAGCTGGTGGGGAAGTGGAGCAGCCAGGACTCAAACCGGCGCCCATATGGGAATGCCGGCAGGCACTGCAGGTGGCAGTCTCACTTGCTACACCACAGCGCCAGCCCCCGCTTTCCCTCTTGAATGTGAGATCAAGAATGAAGAACTCAAGGTAAAAGGGGTTGGGTGGGAGAACAAGTCAGAGCCTGTTTGGTTTCATGTTGCAGGGTCTCCTGGCCCTGAAACTTCAGAGATCTCTCCAGCGGAAAGGCTTTTCTTCCTATCTCACATGGTACAAATGGAGTCTTTCATACTAAACACTGTGTCAGAGTTCTTTCCCCTTTTTTGTTTCCTTTTACCCCCAGAGGACTAAGGACAAGAGAACAAGAGAAAATGGAAGTCCTGCCATGGTAGGAAAAATACACAAAGGAATTCAGCATTCAACATTTAGAACTAGTTACACTCAGTCTCATCGCAGCTTCACGTACTGACCTTTTAACCTTTGTGGGCTTTAACTATTATTCAAGACATATGCTACGAAAATATTCTGTTCACAAATTAAGGCATTCCTCCACTGACTCCAGATGTCTTGTCCACTGAAGTCACAAAAATATTAAAAACACAAATACTGTGTTATATACAATATGAAATAACAAAACCTGGAAGTGTGTTCAAGTCCTGTGTGTAACTGCCTGGGGGACTTCAGGTAGTTTTGGTCTGCTCGTACTCTATCTCTACACAGGCTTGCTTTCTCTGCAGGTGCCCTCTCAAGGGTGTTCTGCCTTTGTGTTTTGCATTAGGGGCCTTTTCTTCTTCTTCACTGGGGGACTTGCCATCCTGGCCCTCATCACTGCTGGCATCCAGTTTAGCCATCTCCTCAAAACCAGTCATGTCACTCTCATCCACCTCTTCATCTTCCACAAATTCTTTTTCTCACATCTTCATCATCTTGTTCTCTGTCTGAAGAGTTACTCTCCGTTTTCTGTTATTCAGGGCCTTGTAGAAGGCATGAATTGGGTAGTTGTAGATGTCGTCATATGTATCTTGTTTCAGTCTTTCCAGTAATTCCCTTTCCATGGCATTGTCCAATTAAGCAGCTATTAATATGCCTTTACCTCTCTTCTTTTCTTCCTATGCTCTACTTTCTTACTCAAAATAACACATTTTCTCTGTTATTCTAGGGTAAATTAAAATTAAAATTAGGTACTGGGTTACCTTGGTGAATGTCTACATAAATTTGTGTCAAATGAAATGGGGCCAGTAAATTAGATTTTCATCTATTTGCTCCAGCGCTTTCTCATGGTTCTTAGTGAGCTGAACCCTTCCCACATACGCCTGGGAAAAGCTGCTCATTCTGTCACCTTCATTTACAAGTAGCACTGTCCTTTCTCTTCTTTGACAGTGGCATACTAGCTGTTTGTCAGAGGGCAGGATGCCTGGTTGCAGAGTCCAGTCAAGCTGTATTCATTTCGGCAAAAGACCTTTGTCACTCCTTCTCTCTGCCTCTGTAACTCTGCCTTTCAAATAAATAATTAAATCTTTTTAAAAAATTCACAACTGATTTGTATATGTTCATTCTGTATACAGAAACTTTACTGTATTCTTTAACTAGTTCTAATGGCCTTTGTTGGAGTCTTTATGGTTTTCTCTCTCTCTATATATATATATAGTATATATTTTTTTAGTTTGATGTAATGTCATTGTCTGCCGTATTATCAACAAACTGCAACAATTTCACTTCTTCTTCTTCTATCCGGTTGTCTTTTATTTCTTTATCTTGCCCATTTGTTCTGGCAGACTTCTAATATTATGTTGAATAGAAGTGGCAGTAGACATCCTTGGGGGCCAGTGTTGTGTGTTAAGGAGCCTCTAGCAATGCAGGCAACCCATATCACAGTGCAGGTTTGAGCCCTAGTTGCTCTGCTTCCCATCCAGCTTCCTGCTAAGGCACCTGGGAAAGCAGCGGATGACAGTTCAAGTGCTTGGGGCCCTGCCACCCATGTAGGAACCCAGATGGAGTAGCTGTTTCCTGGCTTTGGCTGGGCTCAGCCCTGGTGGCTGCAACCATTTGGGGAGTCAATCAGAAGATGGGAGATTCTCTCTCTCTCTACTTAACACACTGCCTTTCAAATAAATGAATCTTACAAAAAATAAAAAGGAGACCATATCTTGTTCTATATCTTGAAGGAAATGACTTACGTTTTCATCCTTGAGTATTGTTTTCTAAATATTTATTTATTTGAAAGGAGAGTTGTAGAGATGGAGAAACAAAGAAAGGAGAGAGATCTTACATCTGCTGGTTCACTTGCAATTTGGCCACAATGGCAAGGACTGGGCCAGGCCGAAGCCAGGAACTTCCTCTGGGTCTCCCACTTGGGTGCAGGGTCCCAAGTACTTTGACCATTTTCTGCTGCTTTCCTAGGTGCATTAGCAGGGAGTTGGATTGGAAGCGAAGCAGTTGGGACAGGAGCGGGTGTTACAGGTGGTGGCTTAACCTGACACACCACAATGTCAGCCCTGAGCTTCATTCTGTTAATGTAATGGATCACATTTACTGATTTATAAATGTTGAATCATACTTGCAATCCAGGGATAAATCTCATTGGCTCATGCATGACCCTTTTAAAGCACTACTCAATTGGATTTGCGTGCATTGTATCAAAGACTTTTACATCTCGGTTCATTAAGGACGTTGCCCTGTGATTTCTTTGTAACATCTTTGTCTGGTCTTGGTTCCTGGTAATGCTGGCCTTACAAGAGTTTGGAAGCATTATCTCCTCTTGAATTTTCTGGAAGAGCTTGAGAAGAACTGATACAGTTTCTTCCTTAAATGTCTGATAGAATTCATCAGTGAAGTCATACTTTTCTCTGATGGGAAAATTTTTATCACTCAATCTCTTAGTGGTATGTTTAGATTTTTTGTTTTTCCTTGATTCAGTCTTAATAAGTTGTATATGTATAGGAATTTATTCATTTCTTTAAGATTATCCAGTTGGCAAATAATTATTCATAGTCTCTCATGATCCTTTGTATTTCTGTGGTATTAGTTGTAACATTGGCATTAGTTCCTCTTTCATTTCTGATTTTATTAAATTATTTTGTCTAGTCTAGCTAAATGTTTGTCAATATTAGCTTTTCAAAGAATCAACTCTTGGTTTAATTTATCTTTTGTATTGTTTTTCTAGTCTCTATTTAATTTATTTCTCCTCTGATATTTATTATTTCCCTCCTTCTGCTAACTTTGGGCTTAGGTTGTTTCTGTTTCTTTTTTTTTTTCTTTTTTTTTTATTTTTGACAGGCAGAGTAGACAGTGAGAGAGAGAGACAGAGAGAAAGGTCTTCCTTTTGCCGTTGGTTCACCCTCCAATGGCCGCCGCTGCAGCCGGCGCACCGCGCTGATCCGATGGCAGGAGCCAGGAGCCAGGTGCTTTTCCTGGTCTCCCATGGGGTGCAGGGCCCAAGCACCTGGGCCATCCTCCACTGCACTCCCTGGCCATAGCAGAGAGCTGGGCTGGAAGAGGGGCGACCGGGACTAGAACCCGGTGTGCCGGCGCTGCAAGGTGGAGGATTAGCCTATTGAGCCACGGCGCCGGCTTCTGTTTCTTGAGAAATACCATTAGGAGGTTTATTTGAGAACTTTTTCTTGTTTGATGCAGATGTGTATTGCTGTGGACTTTCCTCTTAGAACTGCTTTGGTATATCCCATAAATTTTGTTATGTTTTAGTTCCACATTCATTTGTTTCACGATATTTTCAAATTTCTGTTATTTTCTTCATTGACCCACTGGTTATTCAGGAGCACACTGTTTAATTTCCATGTATTTGTGAAGTTTTCAAAATTCTTTCTGTTGATTTCTAGTTTTATATCATTATGGCCAAAAAAGATAATTGATTTAACATTCTTGAATTTGCGAAGGCTTATTCTGTGTAGGGATCCAACTATCTGAGTTGTCTCTTCCTGCATCCCAAGGTGTGCATTAGCAGGAACCTGGAATTGGAAGTGGAGCTGATACTTGAAGATAGCACTTTGATATGGGGTGCAAGCATCCCAAGTGGCATCCTAACTGCTACACCAAACATCTCTGCCCCAAGAATCATCAAATACGGGTATAAACTGCTTTTATTACAGATATAGTATTTGTAGGGGGAATAAAAGTTGTTCAGAAGAATGTAACCTTACTTATTAGGTTTTATCTGTCCAGCAGTCAGAGATTACCAAAGCTGGGAAAAAGCCTAACAGCAGTGTGAAGAGCTACCCACAGCAAAGAGCTGTGTCACCAAGGAAAGGAGAAAGAACAGCTTTCTGTCAGTAAATAAGGGGAAAATGGTCCCTGTGATGGTTGATTTTATGTGTCCACTTGGCTGAGTCAATGCCCAGACATTTGAACAAGTATTATTCTGGATGTCTTTGTGAAGGTGTTTTTGGATGAGACTAACATTTAAATCACTGGGTTTGAGTTACAGCAGATTGCTCTCCACAGTGTGCGTAAGCTTTGAAAGAACAAAGACTGCCTTCCCCTGAGCAAGAAATAATTCTGCTTGGACTCAAACTACAGCTCTTCCCCGAGTCTCCAGCCTGCTGGTCTGCCCAATCAGATTGGCATCAATAAGCTTCCACAGTCACAGGAGTCAATTCCTCTAAAAGAAATCTCTTCTTCCTCTCTTCCTCTCTCTGTATATGCATACATCCTATTGTTTGGTTTTTCTCAAGAATTTTGACTAATACATACCCTGAATTAAAGGATAATCAATTTTGTAAACAATATCAGTGATTCTAAAAGGTATCACAATGGAGGTGGCACTGGTCAAAGTGGGGGCCATGAGAATCACTTTCAAATGTCCAATTTCTCAGATTTCTATTGGCTTGTAGCTTTTTGTACTGCTTTAATATTATTTTTCCTACTATAGGCTCTGAAATTTAACCATAAATTCTTAAATGAAAATGAATAGTAAAGAAAGGACCATGATGAAGGAGAAGAGCAGATAGCTCATCTGACATGAAATTCAGTAATACTTACAACAACACGAGGTGTTACTAGGAGATACACAGTGTGACGAACCATCTTATTATCTCGAACATCCCATAATCTCTCCACTTTCCGAACTACTTTATCACTCCATTGATACAATCCAAGACTGCAATTATAGAATAAAAAAAGTCATTTTTGCAAATTTAATTCCACTTTAAATGTAAAAATCAATATGAAATTAAAATATTTGGGAGCTAACTACGTACCAAGTTCATGCAAAGTAGTTGATAAGCATTTTCTAATTTAATATCTTCAACAAGTCTATGAAATTATCATTATTATTTTGTATGTAAATCTCCCTAAGGAGATGAAGTTAACTTGCTCAAGTTCACATAGTTAATACTGAGCTAAGATAACAATTAATTATTTCCTTTTGACAAATTAGGTAAAACAAAAGCAAGCACAGAAACACATGCAAATATACAAGGAAACTTTAAAAGCATGACATAGTGATTTAGTGGAAAAGTAGAATTTAATAATTGTGCCATGGATCTGATTACCCATCCAGCAAAAAAAAAGTTAAACCCTTATTTCATGCCATATACAAAAATAAATAGTTACTGCTGATCTGCTTTTCTAAATAAACTAACATTAACATATCAGTATTGCCACGTACAAGCGATAATTACTAAAATGTAAAACATAATCTACCCACATTTTCCCACAACACTGACTGTACTGAAAGTAAAACAAGTGCAGTGTGGGAGGAGAGCCTGGCTGGTGAGAAGAGCCCTGGCTCTGTGGATAAGTCATGTGAGCTTCTGTACCTCAGTGTCTTCAACCACAAACTGGAAGGATGAAGCTAAAAGGCCTCATACCTTACCTTGTTTTCACATCTACAGTTTCCTTAGGTTACCCACAAAGGCACTATTACTTATGGCACCTAACATGCTATGGTTCTCCGATTTCATTCTTAGCAACCTTCTAAAGGAGAAGTTCAGGGGCTGGCATTTGACTGTGGTAAAAATAACAGTTAGGACATGTTCCACACTGGAGCAGGACAAGTTCGACACTTGGCTCCAGCTCCCGATTCCAGCCTCCTACTATTTTGAACCCTAAGAGGCAGCAGTGATGGCTCAAAGAGATGGGTCCCTGCTACCCACATGGAAGACCTGAACTGAATTCCTGGCTGCTGACTTCAGCCTGGCCCAGTCTTCGTGGACATTTTGGGGGAGCGAATAAGCAGATGGGTGTGAGTGCATGCTTTCTCTCTCACTCTTCTCTCTCTGACTCTCAAATATATAATGTGGAGAATCCCACAGGAATCTCAAAGAGAGTCACGGATCACCGCTTACCTGGAAAGGAGATGAACTGTGGAAACACAGTAAAACATTGAGTTAAGAAGTTACCACTAGCCACAAAATAAAAGTAAAGTGGAGTTGTAAGTCAGGAGCTGAGGCAATGCCTAACAGCTATTAGGGAAACGCTCCTAATCATATCAAGTAGACATCTCTGGTCAGTCAGATAACAGTGTGCAATGGACAGTACCCTCCTACCCATGCTGACTGGACAGCTCAAACATAAGTAAGGCAGGAACAGTATTGACTGGACTGTTCAACTGCAAGCAAGGAGGAAACAGCATTGATTGGACAAGTTGGAGGATGGCAAGCTGCCAAAAATGAGGATAAAAAGGGAGCCCTTGCACCACTCTCCATCCTCTCGGGGATCATGGCCCAGTGTGTGTGAACCTCTGGATCTCCACACATCCAGAGCTGAAGGGGCAGCCTGCTACTCTGCATGGAGCAGGTAGCAGCACAAGCCGACCTGCAGAGCTGTCCCTGAGCTGTAACCCCACTGTCTGTGTGAGTGTGTGTGTGTGAGTGGGCCCAGTGCGAGCGAACCTCTGGATCTCCTCGCTCTTGGAGCTGAAGTGCCAGCTTGCTAGCCCCCTTGTTAAGCTACACAAGGCGACTACGGGATCAAAACTCCAGCCAAGATGCTGCCTCACCGCCTTGCCTGGAGTCCTTATCAGCCTACTACCAGACTGACCATTCTCCAACTTCTCGCCTGGCCGTCCGCCTGGTAACTTTGAGCCTACTTCCCAGAGTGACAGCCTTCCCACAATTTCCTGCTTGTAAGTGACTGATCCGAGATCCTTCTCTGCTGAGACATGGAGCTCTGGACCTTCAACACTGACACTCTTTTTCATGACCATGATACGAGCCTTGAAAACGCAGCTTTTACAAATAATATTAGTCATGTGTAATATAATATAACTATGCTTTGACCCTATGCAAGGTATCTGTAAATAATGCTGGAAACCTTGATGTACATATACCATTATAATTAGATAGCCCTCAAAATTACTTTAACACAGTATACTGTGATCTATGGATTAATGAACAAGTTCAAATAGTATTATTGATATTGATATTAATGGTGTTGATTCCAATAGTCCTCTAGTCATTAAGGAAATAGTGTTACTCTGATAGTTAAGTATTATAGTAAATAAGTTAAGTAGAAGATAAGTAGTTATGTTAAGCTAAGTAATTCAGTAAGTGTGTTAAGTTAGCAATAAGTTATGATAAGTGATTTTATTGATATTATATATAGTGATATTAGTGATATTGATAAGTGTGTTAAGTAATTATGTTAAGTTAGGTGATTAGGCCAAATAGTTAAGCTAAGTAGTTACGTTAAGCTAAGTAGCAAAGTTAAGTAGTTAAGTCACATTAAGTAGTGGTGTTTATTGATAAGTGTATTAAATAGTATAGATTGATAAGTATATTGATACTGATAAGTGTATTGACCTCAGTGAGCATGCTGATGAGTAGTGTGATAAAAAAAAACCCTGGTGTGTAAGCAATGAAATCTCTCATTGGAAAGACAGTCTTGTGTCCTGGTGTTCCTTTCTTCCCCGTGACTGACAAGTCGTACATCGCACTTGCTACTGTCGAGTTGCATGACAGTAGGTGCTCGCGACATATAAATACTTTTTTTTTTTTTTTTTGACAGGCAGAGTTACATAGTGAGAGAGAGAGAGACAGAGAGAAAGGTCTTCCTTCCATTGGTTCACCCCCCAAATGGTCGTTACGGCCAATGCGCTGTGCCGATTTGAAGCCAGAAGCCAGGTGCTTCACCTGGTCTCCTATGTGGGTGCAGGGCCCAAGCATCTGGGCCATCCTCCACTGCCCTCCCGGGCCACAGTAGACAGCTAGACTGGAAGAGGGGCAACCGGGTTAGAACCGGTGCCCCTACCGGGACTAGAACCCGGAGTACCAGCGCCGCAGGCAGAGGATTAGCCTAGTGGGCCACGGCGCCGGCCAATACTCTTTTTTTTTTTTTTAAAAAGAGAGAGAATAACAACAAAACTAACAAATACCTGTAATTAAAAGGTGGGAGACCATCTGCAAACCTTGAAGTTAGAGGATTTCCATCTTTATCATGGTAGAATGCAAACAGCCCGGCAGAGAAACCCTACAAGGAAGAGTTCAGAATCTCTTAAAGTGTAAAACATCAAGTTTATTATATCCCTCTTAACATGCCTGCTTTCCTAAGAGATGTGATCAAGTACACAACACTGCCAGAGGAGCCTCCCTCACACTGGGGTTGGACAACAGTTAAATGTGCCATTTTTACGAATCTCTTAGTGTCTAATTACTTGAAGTAAACATCTGCAATGAAATTGTTCCAAACAGCATTTAAAAACTATGTACAGGATAAACACTACAAACATCAATTACTGTGCTATCATGATCCTTAACAGAGTTTAAAAACCATACACTCCAGAGCACCAGCTGTTGTGTTTTCTAATTCCTCTGTCTGCTTTTTAAAGTTGTCTGGGCCTTGTTCCTCGTTTCTGAATGCTGGACTGGACAAATGCTGAAAGGGTTGAAAAGATGGAAGCAGGACAGTGAACTGCATAGCCAAGACTGACACAGGCTTAAAATAAAATACACAGATTCGATTAAAAATTACTGTGAAGATGTACATTTGTATGTGTTCAAATACAGATATAAATATCATCTAACAATTTAATTTGTCTAATGTGGGGAAGGCAGGTAGTCATTCTTACTCTCTTCCTATAAGGATGCCTACGGTTATCAGAAACAGTAGCAGCCCATGGCTCTGCATAGCTACACACTTTCATAGCCCTTTTACTATATTTTATTCAGTAGTCTCAGAATTTTTTTTTCAAAGATTTATTTATTTATTTGAAAGGTAGAGTTACAGAGAGAGAGAGAGAGAGAGAGAGAGAAAGACACACAGAGAGAGATTTCCCATCGGCTTGTTTATTCCCCAAATAGTCCCAACAAGCTGGAGCTAGGTCAGTCAAAGCCAGGAGCCAAGAGTTTCTTCTGGGTCTCCCACAAGGGTGCAGGGTCCCAAGACTTGGGCTATTCTCTGTTGCTTTCCAGAGTACATTAGCAGGGAGCTGGATCAGAAGTGGAGCAGCCAGGACTCAAATTGGTGCCCATATGGGATGTCAGCTCGCAGGTGGTGGCATTACCTGCTATGCCACGATGCTGGCTACCTCCCACCCCCAGTATTTCTAATATGGTGATTTTACCCATTACTCTACCATAAAAAACAGTGGCGGATAGCCCAAGTACTTGGGCTCCTGCACCCACATGGGAGACATGGAAGTAGCTCCTGGCTTCTAGCTCTGGCCTGACTTGCCCTGGCCATTGTGGACATTGGTGAGTGAACCAGCAGATGGAAGATCTTTCTCTCTCCCTCTGCCTCTTCCCCTCTCTCTGTAACTCTTTAAAATAACAAATAAATAAATCTTTTTTTAAAATTAAATGATTAACAAACAAAGTACTCCCTGTAAAGTTATGTATGCCTGCCACTATCAACCACTGTAGGCCATGGTGGTTTCAATACTAGATGAGCCTTCTGAAGTCCGAGTGCCTGGAAAAAGTTTCAAGCTGATAAGTTTTTTTTTAAGTTAAAAAAATAAAGTTAGAATATGATAAAAGATGAGAGAAATTATACCATTCTAAGCTTTGTATAATGTCAGTGAATTGTATATTACACCTCTATAAATTTTCTTAACAGACTCCATTAACTTTCTTTTTGTCTTAAGGACTTAAAAGTAAAGAAGAAAAAAACATATAAGAAAACAAGAATAATGTGAATTTCATCATCATTTTGTCAAGACTTGAAAAACATGGAGTTCATAGTTATATCAGCAAAGAATGTTGGCGTAGAAATTTACTAGGTGACCAGTTATGATTGTTAGCTATCTGTATACAAGCTATAGCATATTCTCAATGTATAAAGCATAAAGAAGTAGTTATAGAGTAGTTTGATTTTGGGACCAGCATTGTGGCACAGCAGGTTACAGTCCTGGCCTGCAGCACCAGGATACCATATGGACACCAGTTCAAGTCCTGGATGCTCCACTTCCAATCTGCTCCCTGTTAATGTGCCTGGGAAAGCAGCAGAGAAGGGTCCAAGTCCTTGGGCCCCTGTACCCACATGGAAGACCTAGAAGAAGCTCCTGGCTCTTGGCTTTGGGTCTGCCCAGCTCTGGCCACTGCAGCCATTTGGGGAATGAATCCGCAGATGGAAGACCTCTTTCTCTCTACCTGTCTTTGTAATTCTGTCATTAAAATAAATAAGTCTTTTTTTAAAAAATGCTTTGTTTTTATTATTGTATTAGAAAAGAAAGCAAGAAAAGAAATCTCAGTAAGGAAAAGGAAATGTCAAACAATAATTTTGTGGTTTTTAGTTCCTTTCTCTATCTATTTGAGTGGTGAAGAGATAAAGAATGGAATCTGAATACTTTTATGGGAAGCACTCATTATCTCATTAAAATTTAAGACTTCTTAAAAATACTGTTTTTAAAATCTGATTATAAGCATAGAAATTCACATTGTAAAAAAAATTTTTTTAAGATTTATTTATTTATTTGAAAGGCAGAGTTACACAGAGAGAGAGAGAACAAAAGACAGAGGGAAGTATCTTTATATGCTGGTTTGCTCCCAGATGGCTATGATGGCCGGGACTGCACCAGGCCAAAGCCAGGAGCCAGGAAGTTCATCAGGTCTCCCATGTGGGTGGCAGGGGCCAACCTCTTCTGCTTTTCCCAGACACATTAGCAGGATGCTGGATTGGAAATGTTGGAAATGGAGCAGCTGGGACATGAACCGGCACCCATATGATATGCCAGCACTGCAGACTGTGGCTTAACTGGCTGCACAACAGCAGCACTGGTCCCAGTTATTTAATTCTCTTTTTTTTTTTTTTTTTTTTTGACAGAGTGGACAGTGAGAGAGAGAGACAGAGAGAAAGGTCTTCCTTTTTCCGTTGGTTTACCCTCAGTGGCCATTGCAGCCGGCACACTGAGGCCAGCGCAATGCGCTGATCCAAAGCCAGGAGCCAGGTGCTTCCTCCTGGTCTCCCATGCGGGTACAGGGCCCAAGGACTTGGGCCATCCTCCACTGCACTCCTGAGCCACAGCAGAGAGCTGGACTGGAAGAGGGGCAACCGGGACAGAATCCGGCGCCCCGACAAGGACTAGAACCCTGGGTGCCGGCACTGCAGGCAGAGGATTAGCCTATTGAGCCGCAGCACTGGCCCCAAATTATTTAATTCTTATTGCTCCTCAAGACAGTTTTTAAGGCTTAAATTATTAAAATATATGAAAAATCAAAAAAAAATAGAAATGCATGCATCTTCTTTAAGAGAATTATGATATTAGTTTTGCCATACCATCTTCAGATTTTTTTTAAGAAGGAAATCATTGGAGAGTAATATTGCTGAAGCCCTATAATCTCATCCCTTTCTCCTACTTCTCCCAGAGGTAACCACTACCTTGACATAAGGGTGCATAATTCTCATGAACGTTATTATACTTTGACTATACTCATATTTATAACCATAAACAAGATACACTTTTATTTGTGGAGATTAAAAACTTACAAAAGTGGTATCATGTTTGGTATACACAAAAAATGGAATATTAACCAGCCTTAAAGGGGAATGAAATTGTACATATTATTACATGGATGAACCTTGAAGACACTGTGTTAGGTGAAATAAGCCAGACACAAAAAGACAAATATTGTATGATTCCACTGAGGCCCCTAGAATAGTCACACTCACAGAGAACAGAAAGCAGAATAGAAGTTAGGAGGAGGAACTGGGGAGGCAAGTCAGTGAGTTCCATTCCAGGATGATTTCTTTTTGTCTTTTTAAAATTAGACAGGTGCAGGGGCAGAGTAAGAAAGCAAGACAGAGAGAGCTTCCATTTGTTGCTTTACCCCTCGGCCAAATGCCCACCCAAATGTTACCATTTGAAAGTACACAGTTAGAGGGGTAGGCAGTCTGGCACTGGCAGGACAAGCTGCTGCTTGGGACACCTGCATTCCACTCTGGAGCGCCTGGTTCAAGTTCTGGACAGGATGCTTCTGAGCCAGCTTCCTGCTAATACACCTGAGAAGGCAACAGTCAGCCCAAGAACTTGGGTCTGTTACTGACACGGGAGACCCAGACGGAGTTCTGGGCTTCTGGCTTCAGCTTGGCCCACTCCTGGCTATTGTAGGCATTTGGGGTTAGTGAACCAATAAATGTAAAGTTTCTCTTTCTCTGTCTCTCCCTCTCCCTCTCTCTCTCTGTCACTCTGCCTTATAAATAAACGTATCTGTTGCTTTTCTTTGGTTCTCTCAGTATTGAATTATCTATAGTTCTTTGTGCTAAAAATGTTACTTAGAATGATGCTTATCTTTCACTACAATCACCAGGTTCAACTTAACTTTTAAAAAAATTATTTATTTATTTATTTATTTGAAAGGCATAGAGAGAGAGAGAGAGAGAGGTCTTCCAACCGCTGGTTCACTCCCCAAATGGCTGCAACAGCCGGAGCTGAGCCTAAATGAAGTCAGGAGCCAGGAGCTTCTTCCAGGTCTCCCACATGGGTGCAGAGCCTCAAGCACTTGGGCCATCTTCTACTGCTTTCCCAGGCCACAGCAGAGAACTGGATTGGAAGTGGAACAGCTGGGTCTGGAGCCCATATCAGATGCCAGCATTGTAGGCAGTGGCTTTACCTGCTCCACCACAGTACTGGCCCCTTAACTTTTTTTAATGAAAGGAAAACTGGGGTGGACAATTGGCCTAGCATTTAAGATGCCTGTGTCCCACATCACAGTGCCTGAATTCAACACCCACCTTTAGCTCCTAACTCCAGATTCCTGCTAGTGCAGATCCTGGGAGGCAGTGGTGATGGCTCAAGAAACGGCTAATCCTCCACCTGAGGCGCTGGCATCCCATATGGGCACCAGGTTCTAGTCCGGGCTGCTCTTCTTCCAGTCCAGCTCTCTGCTGTGGCCCGGGAGGGCAGTGGAGGATGGCCCAAGTGCTTGGGTGCCTGCACCTGCATGAGAGGCCAGGAGAAAGCACCTGGCTCCTGGCTTCGGATCGGTGTAGTTCTGGCTGCAGCAGCCATTTGGGGGGTGAACCAACAGAAGGAAGACCTTTATGTCTCTCTCTCTCACTGTCAGTAACTCTACCTCTCAAATAAATAAATAAATAAGATCTTTAAAAAAAAAAAAAAAGAAAAAAATCCTTTCTTTGAGGGTGCTTCAAAAAGTTTGTGAAAAGGGAATTAAAAGGTAAGTTTAGGGGGCCGGCACATTGTGGTATAGAAGGCTAAGCCTCTGCCTGCATCCCATATGGGTGTCAGCTTGAGTTCCAGCTGCTCCACTTCTGATCCAGCTCCCTGCTAATACACCTGAGAAAGCAATGGAAGAAGGCCCAGGTACCTGGTCCCCTGCACCCATGTGGGAGACACAGAAGAAGCCCCTAAGCTTCTTGCTCCTGGCTTTGACCTGGCCCAGCCTAGTTGTTGTGGCCATTTGTGGAGTGAACCAGCAGATGGAAGATTGATCTCTCTCTCTCTCTCCTTCTCTCTCTGTAGCTCTGCTTTTCAAATAAATTAAAAAAAAAAAAAAAAAGAAACGAAGGAAGGGAGGGAGGGAGGGAGGAAAAGGTAAGTTTAGGGGTGGACTTGTGGCACAGTAGTTAAGATACTTCTGGGAACGCTCACATCCCATACTGGAGTACCTGGGTTCGAGACTTGACTCCATCCCGACTCTAGCTTCTTGCTAATATGTACTCTGGGAAAAATCAAGTGATATGGCTCAAGTGGTTGGGTCCCTACCACCCATATGAAAAACTTGGATTGACTTCCTAGCTCCTGCCTTTAGCCCAATCCAAGCTCAGCTATTGCAGGAATTTGAGAAGTGACCCAGGGTATAAGACATCTTCGTCTGTGTGCCTGTCTGTTTTTCTCTTTCTTTCAGTCTCTGTACCTTTCAAATAAATTAAAAAAAAAAAAAAGGATTTTAGGGGCCAGCACTGTGGTGCAGTAGGTTAAGTTGCTGCCTGTGATGCCAGCATCCCTTATGGTGCCAGTTTATTTTGTGCAAAGAAATTTCAAATCCATGCATAGTTTTTTTGTCATAATATATATTTTCTATGAATTCTTTAGAGAATCCTTGTATCCATGGTTTTCAATGTTTTTCTGCTCTGAAATAAACTTACTTTTTAATTCCATTTTCCACAAACTTTATAAAAACATTTTTAAAATTTTATTTATTTGAAAGGCAGAGAGACAGAGAAACAGAAACGGTGAGAGATTGTCCATTCACTGGTTCAATCCCCAAATGCCCACAACAACCAGTGACAGGCCAGGAAGAAGCCAGAAGTCTAAACTCAGTCTGGGTCTCCCACATGAGGGGCAAGGACCCAGGTCCATGAGCTATCTCAGGGTGCCTCTCAGGGTGTGCATTAGCAGGAAGTTGGAATTGGAAGTAGAGCCATGACGTGAAAGTAGGGTGTCCTAAACTGTGTCATAACTACTGCATTAAACACCCTGTCCCTACCAGCTTTTAAAAGTGTACTGCTACTGTCCTCATTTTACACACAAGGATAAAAAACTGAGGCTTTTACAAAGGCTAAGTAATTTGTCTAAGATGCCTTTTAGTGATATAGGTAAGAAGATTCCTACCCATGTCTTTGTGATTCATTCTCTCTCTCAGACATCAAATTTTGCTACCCTCTATTTTCTAAATACACAAATGGCATTAGAAGAACATTTCCTAGAGTCTTTAGCAACTTTAGACATATATAGTAAAAGTATACTGTTTTGAACAAATTGGGGAAAAAGAATGAGAAATTCTCAATAAGTTAGTTTACATAAATTTTAGAAAACCCAGACAGGCTTTTAGAAATGAGCTAAGAAATAAGAAAAAGCTATAGCTAGCTTATCAGTTATCACTGTACAGGAAATTTAATTTTTCTAATGACTGTTTTTCACTTTAAGATTTGGAAGGTAGGGTAACAGAGAGAGAAAGAGAACAAGGGAGAGAGAGAGATCTCCCTTCCGCTGGTTCACTCCCCAGATGGCCTCAATGGCCAGGCTAAGCCAACCTGAAGCTAGGAGCCCGAAACCCCATCCTGGTCTCCCACATGAGTGGCAGGGGTACAAGAAGTTAGGCCATCTTCTGCTTTCTCAGGCACATTAGCAAGGAGCTGGATTGGAAATACAGCAACTGGGACTTGAACCTGCACTCTGAAACAGGATGCTGGTGTTGCAAGTGGCGACTTAACCAGCTGTGTCATAATTCCCACTCCTGAGATTTTCTTGAGAATCTTAATTCTTCTCTCAAAAATTTACCTAATGGATTTAGTCTTTAATTATATTAGACAGCAAAATTCGACCCAGACACTATCCTGATCATCAAAACTTTCTATATTGGCAGAAACCTAATTAATCAGGTTTTACTGAACATGAATATAAGAATCCACATAATCTTAAATGTTAATATATGTATAAAAATAACAGTATAAGAGCATAATAAACAGAAAACCAAGGCATGCAAGAAAGAACATTAGGTGAAGGTAGAATTACCAGGGCATGAATAATCTCATGTTTCACCGTGGACAGCATCCCAACAAACTCCTGAGGCTGGGTAGAGATCATATTTGGACACAGGTTAGCATATCCTGCTATTGGCCTGTTAAAATAGATGTTGAGTGTTTTTTAATATATCAGAACAATATTTCTCATCTAGACTTCTCTATCACAATTGCTCAGACATAAAAAGTATTTGCTAATGTCAAATGTAATTCTGAACTCTAGCAGCTAACTTTCACTATCTTTTATTTTCAAGACACGTACACTTTGCTTTCCTATAACTTAATAACACCTGTTTCCATAAAAGGAACATATTCAGTTTATTATACTTTAGTATGAATTTTTAAAAAATATAAAAATTTTAAATGTCAATATAATTTTTAAAAAATGAACAGAAGTATTCAAACACTATTTTACTTGCAAAATCCATATTTGACTTCAGCATTTCACCATTCTTTCAGGCACACAGACAGGTAGAAAGAAAAATCAAATACATTAACAGGACAATAAGCAAACTGTTCAGGTTACTGAAAGTTGCTGAACCTTCTCTCCATCTTTCTCCTGCCCCAACACTGCTTATATTCACAAAAAGATTTTTTATCTTCCCATTATCTTCTTTCAAATTCTACATCTTTTGGAATGTACAGAATTCCACAGCTCTCCCTGTGTCTAGAACCAGAGTCTAGACTAGGACCCAGAGTCCAGGATGACTCAGATCTACCTTGCAGATACCTGGTTTCCAAAAGCTGTGGCAAATGAGTAAGGCTAAGGGACTCCAAGGTCCTTAGGAACTCCAAGGTAATATTTCACCATAGAAATAACCACAAACCCAGAAGTTACAAGTACCTATTACAAAGAACACTTACTTTATTTAAAGTTTTAAAAAAGTGGAGGGGGGCTGGTGTTTCTGTACCAAGTGAAGCCTCAGTTTGAGATGCTGGCATCCCCTATCCATAGGAGCACTGGCTGCTCGTCTCCTGATACAACTCCCTGCTAATGTGGCCAGGAAAGCAGCATGTGATGCCAAGTACTTGGGCCCCCACCATGAACGAAGAAGACTCAGATGGAGTTCCTGGCTTGTCCTCGCCCACCCCAGGCTGGAGAGTGAACCAGAGAATGGAAGATCTCTCTTTCTCTCCCTGTCACTCTGCCTTTCAAATAAATAAGTAAATCTTAACAACAACAACACCACGGTGATCTCTAAAATATAAAATGAAGCCACTGCCAGGCCTAAAGCCCTTCAGGGACTCCCTACAGCACTGAGAACACAATGGTTCTGTCTGCCTTTCCAAGCACTTGTCCTCGGACACAGTGTCTACTGAAGCGGCTTCGGAGCAACAGGTGCACGTGGCGATTTCTTAACATAAGCTCTTTCCCCTAACAAATTTTTTCACTAAAGTCTACCAATGTTCAGGTAACCACTAAAATTTCCCTTTTTCAGAGGCCTTCCTCACCCAATTGATCAAAATGCAGTGTCCCTTTGTTTTCCTTTTTATATTACAGCATCCTTTTTTTTAAGATTTATTTTATTTATTTGAAAGGCAGAGTTACAAAGAGAGGAAGAAGCAAAGAGATAGAGATAGAGATAGAGATAGAGATAGAGATATAGAGAGATAGAGAGAGAGAGAGAGAGAGAGAGAGAGAGACCTTCCATTTGCTGGTTCACTCCCCAGATGGCTGCAACAGCCAGGGCTGAGCTAAGTAAAAGCGAGGAGCCAGGAGCTTCTTCCAGGTCTCCCACAAAGGCGCAGGGACCCAAGCCTTGCGCCATCTACTGTTGCTTTCCCAGGCGCATGAGCAGGGAACTGGATTGGAAGTGGAGCAGCTAGGACTCAAACTAGCACCCATATGGTATGCTGCATTATGTACTGTGCCACAATACCAGTCCCAGCATCCTGGTTTTTTTCTAAAAGGTATTTATCATATTGTGAAATCATGCATTTATTTGCAAGCACATTAACTAATACTCTCTCAGTCTGTACTCTGTAAATTCCATTAGGCAGGAGTACATGTCTATTCTGTTCACCTAGTCTGTTGGCAACTAATTAGGTACTATGCACAGGCAAAGTTTCACTCTCCTCAAAAAGATTCAAAATGAACAGTGAAGATATGGCCTTTTCTTCCAACGTGACACTCTTAAAAGAAATCAAAATCTTTCCCCTGATATGAGTAGACATACAGGAACAGCTTCATATTCACTAGTACAAAGAACACTTAGCTACCTGTTCATATCAAATGTAAACTAATCATTACAGTGCTATAAACATTTAAATATGGAAAAGCATATACACTGTTTCGCAATGTTCTTTTGAGACCTAATAGCATATCCTAAATGAAATTTCACCTGCGTATGCAATCCATGTTTTAGGTCAAACTTAGAAACTAAGAACCATGATTATGTAGCACTGCTACTGTGAAGGCTTATTTCTCAAGGACATCTGCTGTTAGAAAGCACTTCTCTTCAACAAATAACTGGGCCACCATTCATGTAGCACTTCAAGTATCACATTTTCCTTGATCCTAAGACACCATTAATTATAAAATATCAAAAATTCAATGACAACTTCTCAGGAAAAAGGAAACTCTGGCACACACATACCCCTGAAAGCACTCAGCACTGCCTCCTGCAGTAGCACATTCAGTAGTGGACACTAAGCTTTCTCAACACGCAGCCTAGATTCCTGAGAGGATTTCCAAAGCCCATCCAAAACCTCACAGTATCATGGTAACACACTGCTTTTGACAATATTGCCAACCGTAGGCATCCAGGGGATTGGCTTCAGGACCTCCCATGGACATCAGAATCTGCAGATGCCCAAGTCTAGTATGTAACATGCCATGGGATTTGTGTATAACCTATAGACATCCTTCCATATAACTTAACCATCTGTACATTATTTGTCATATCTAATATGACATACATGCTTACAAATTGATGTTACACTATGTTGTTTAGAGAATAATGACAAGAAAAAGTCTGTACATGTTCAGTATAGTTGCAATTGTTTCCCCGAATATTTTTGATCCAATGTTGCTTTATTAGCAGCATGGAGAACCTGCAGAATATGGAAGGCAGACTGTACATGCTGCTGACTTTGACGTCCTTAGCACCTTCAAAACTGACAGTATGAATCTGTAGTGTTTTCTCTGTATTGCCTTCTTAGTTCAACTAACAGTTCCATTTTTTCCTTAAATAATTCCATATCAATAGACATGGGACATCTCTTTAAGGTCTGCTACTCTTGACAGATAGATGGATGTTTAGCATCTCTGTAGTAGTTCTTACGTGTGCATAAATTAGTCACACTAATTGCTCCCAGATTTGAGAATGTGACATACAATCTATTCTGAGACATGTGGCAAGTTCTACTACCTTTAATTGATTTGTCTGGTGTGTGATGGGCAACTTTTGCATATTTAATAACTTTTCATTTCAAGGCTGGGCTCCTTCACTAGGAAAAAGTTCTGAAATCTTTTGTAAATAATAAAGAAGACTGAATTTTTAAGTGATCATTTAGCTAAGTGAAGCATATACTGTATAACAAATGATAGGACGATTAGACACTTTTAACATGTCACACTTTTAGCACAGAAGTGCTGGCTTTAAGGATCAAATTGTTTCCTTAGGGGGATATTCAGCTCGCAGCAAATTCTCTAGGCAACACACCTTTTCTCTGAAGGCAAAAAGCATAGTGTGGGAATGGAAGAAGAGTGGCAGGGGAAAAAAATGGAAGGAGGCTTTCCCTCTTCTCCTTCCATCTGACTCAAATCTCCTTCCCCACATGAACAACAGTCCCAGCTGGCCCACACCCCAGGCCAGGCCAGGCAGAAAGCTAGTTCTCACCACTAGAGGCAATGTGACAAATGAAAGATACATGAACGTGTTTTAAGAGTTCTCATTAATAAATCTTCAGGAGAGGTCTCAGAGGAATGTTTACCTGTCCATTTGTGCTTCCTGCTGACAATAGGCCGCATATGAGATGATGTTTTCATGGCTGCACCTCTCAGTGGCCAGAGCACCAACATAAAGAACAAAGTCTGCATCCTTGATGCCCTCCTGGTCCAGCACACCCACTGCTTCATGGGAACACTTACCCCCACGGCAGATCCTGCATCTCTGTGCTCACGGGATCAACAGAAAACCAGACCAGAGACAGGGTTAGCCGCGGGGACCTTTCATCTTGCAGTGACTCCAGACTATACTACGACTTAATCTTTATTGATTATACCTCAAGCTTTCAGCAAAATCTAAATCTTCATCCCTCTATTTCTACCTCTAACTTTGAATTTATTTCACTAAGATTTCAGCTTTTTATAAAATGATTATAAGTCTACAATCTTATTTAAACAATTGCTATCAAGGCTAAACAACCAACTGGAAGACAGAAAAGACAGAGAAAGAAAAAGTTTAAAGCTCCAAAACCAAATGAAAGAACTTCCCTGTATTTTTTTATGTGTGTGAACAACTTCCACAATCAAAATAAAATAAAAACTTTTTATCTAATGAAAACATTTTCTATCATCAAATCAAATAATTCATGTATCTTCTTAAAAATTCAGATGAAACAAAAATATATGTTCAAAGTTAGTCATTTTATATTATACTTTTTCTAGTTTTCTAAGCAATTCTTACATTGTTTTTCTTTTCTTTTTTTAAAAAGGTTTATCCACTTATTTGAAAGGCAGAGTTATAGAGAGGCAGTGGCAGAGGCAGAGAGAGAGAGAGAGAACGAGAGAGAGAGGCCTTCCATCACTCCCCAAATAGCTGAAATGGCCAGAGTTTGGGCAATCTGAAGCCAGGAGCCTGGAGCTTCTTCCAGGTCTCCCACACAGGTACAGGGGACCAAGGACTTGGGCCATCATCCACTGCTTTTCCAGGCCATAGCAGAAAGCTGGATTGGAAGTGGAGCAGCTGAGACTTGAACTGGCATCCATATGGGATGCCAGCAACACAGGCGGTGGTTTTACCCACTATGCCACCACACCGGGCCTCACATCATTCTTATAATATTTGCTGTTTAGAGAACTTCTCTCAAAGTTCCTAAACAATCATAATCTCCAAATTATACATAGAAAAATCACTAAATAGTGATTTTGTGGGTATAATCAATGCTTGTAGAGACAGAGAAAAAAGATATTTCCATTTCATTTAATAAAGTATACAATGTCCACTCTGTTTCTCTAGCATGTGTATTTATAAATTTTACATTTAATTACTTTAATAGTTGGTATAATAAAAAGTTATGATTTTTAAACATTCTTTTCCATGATTATCTATTTAATTGAACAAAAAATTCAGAATCCACCAGGAAAGCAGAATTTGGAAGAGCCTAGAAAATTTCAAGCAAAAAAAACCTTAATATATAAATAACAATTTTTTAAATATTTAAACTTTTTTGTTAAAATTTTAAGTTCTACTTTAAAAGTTTACACTCTCGGGGCTGGTGCTGTGGTGTAGCAGGTAAAGCCACCTCCTGCGCCGTCATCCTATATGGGCACCAGTTCAAGTCCTGGCTGTTCCACTTCCAATCCAGCTCTCTGCCGTGGCCTGGGAAAGCAGTAGAGGATGGCCCAAGTGCTTGGGCTCCCGCACCCACTTGGGAGACCCACAGGAAGCTCCTGCTTAGGACTGGCTCAGTTCCAGCTGTTGCGACCATTTGGGGAAGTGAACCAGCAGATGGAAGACCTCTCTCTTTCTGCCTCTGCTTCTGTGTAACTCTACCTTTCAAATAAATAATAAATAAATCTTTTTTTAAAAAAGTTTGCACTCTAAAGAAATCTGAGAAAGCAAGTTAATTACATTGGTGCCAAGATATAGGACTAGAAAATCTTTCTTTACTGGGCTCCAAACGCCTAAAGAAAAAACTTACATGATGAACTTAACCTAAACATATGCCTATGGGACAAGCATTTGGCCTCAGTGTTAGGATGCCACCTGGGACTCTCTCATCCCACATTAGAGTGTCTGGGCTTGAGTCTTGGCTCCATTCCTAATTCTAGCTTCCTGTTAACAGGCACCCTGGGAGGTAGCAGATGATGGCTCAAATATTTAGGATTCTTTACCCATTTGGGAGATATAGATTGAGTTCCTGGCTCTAGCTTAGGCCAGATCCAGCTATTGAAAACATTTGCAGAGTGAACCAGTGGAATGGAGATCTAGCTCTCCATCTCTCAAATAAATAAAAATTAAATAAATATATACTTTTAGTTAAAAAAGTCAATGTTCACTAATGTATTCATTTTCTGTAAGTAATGAAAGGATGTAGCAAAATAGAGAAAAACAGCAAGAGCAATAATATCTTTAGATTTATATGTATACAAATTTATGTGTACCAACTTCAGATTTGTTATATGCATTTATATAACATGTATACATAATATGTATATAAATGTATAAAATCACAAAAACATATAGCTTACCAACAAAAAGCATCCCCACAATTATATTCTTTTTTTAAAAATTATTTACTTGAATGTCATTCTTTATTTTTAAAATTTTTATTTATTGGGCCGGCGCCGCGGCTCAATAGGCTAATCCTCCGCCTAGCGGCGCCGGCACACCGGGTTCTAGTCCCGGTCAGGGCGCCGGATTCTGTCCCGGTTGCCCCTCTTCCAGGCCAGCCCTCTGCTGTGGCCAGGGAGTGCAGTGGAGGATGGCCCAGGTGCTTGGGCCCTGCACCCCATGGGAGACCAGGAAAAGCACCTGGATCCTGGCTCCTGCCATCGGATCAGCGCGGTGCGCCGGCCGCAGCGCACCAGCCGCGGCGGCCATTGGAGGGTGAACCAACGGCAAAGGAAGACCTTTCTCTCTGTTTCTCTCTCTCACTGTCCACTCTGCCTGTCAAAAATAAATAAATAAATTAATTAATAAATAAATAAAAAAAATTTTTATTTATTTATTTTAAAGGCTGGGAGGCAGACCAAGAGGGAGCGCCCATCTGCCAGCTCACTCCCCACATGCCTGCAATGGGTGTATGTGGAGAAGGTGGCAGAACTTGGAGCCAGAACTTAGGACACAATCCAGGTCTCCCACACAGGTGGCAGGAATCCTACTACTTGGGCTATCACCACTGCTTCTCAGGGTCACATTAGCAGGAAGCTGGAATCGGTAGCTGAAGCTCGAAATGAAAACCAAGTATTCTGATATGGGATGCAGGGGTCTTAAACAGCAGGCCAAATACCAGCCCCAAACAATATAACTCTTTAAGAAAACCATTAACATTCTGATATACACCCTACGTACACATGTATGTATTTAATTTACTTATTTGAAAGGCAGAAAGAGAGAGCACTGGTTCACCACAGAAATGACCGTCACAGCCAGAACTGGGCCAGGCCAAAGCCACGAGACTGGAACTCAGTCTGGGTCTCCCATGTAGGTAGCAAGGAAACAAGTACCTAAGCCATCACCTGTTGCCTCCCCAGGGTGTGCCTTAATAGGAAACTAGACTCAGAAGCATATCCAGACTTGAACTCAGATACTCTGATATGGGGTGCAGGCTTACCAAGCAGCAGCTTAACCACTATGCCAATGCCCACCCTATATGTCCAGGTTTTTTTTAGTATGTATATTCTTCCAGATTGTTTCATAATTTTTAATCATATGCATATATCTATACTTTTCAAATAAAATAGCCTACACACACTAATTTACACCTTTTTTTTTTAATGTAAGCAAGGACTTAAACATCTTTCCAAGTCAGTCCATAGAGATCCACTTCATTCTTTTAACAACTGCATAGCATGTTATTACATGGTTATACCATGACTTAATACCATAAATAGGCATATTTGCAGTTTTGCAAAGAACATCCTTGAATATTTATTACATGGCTATTAGTATTTTTATGGAATAAATTCGCATTATTATTTTGCATAATAATTTTATTGCATAATACATATTCTTAATTTTAAGAGATATCAAATGGTCTTTTAAAAATTTTATTGGGGCCAGCACTGTGGCATAGTGGGTAAAGCCATCGCCTGCAGTGCCAGCATCCCATATGGGCGCCAGTTCGAGTCCCCGCAGCTCCAATTCTGATCAAGCTCTCTGCTATGGTCTGGGAGAGCAGTACAGGGTGTCCCAAGTCCTTGGGCCCCTGCACCTACATGGGAGACCCGGAAGAAGCTCCTGGCTCCTGCCTTTGGACTGGCACAGCACCGGCCACGGCGGCCAACTGAGTAGTGGACCAGCAGATGGAAGACCTCTCTCTCTCTCTCTGCCTCTCCTTCTCTATGTAACTCTGACTTTCAAATAAAAAATAATAAAAGATTGATTTACTGGGCCGGCGCCGTGGCTCAATAGGCTAATCCTCCACCTTGCGGCGCCAGCACACCGGGTTCTAGTCCCGGTTGGGGCGCCGGATTCTGTCCCGGTTGCCCCTCTTCCAGGCCAGCTCTCTGCTATGGCCAGGGAGTGCAGTGGAGGATGGCCCAGGTGCTTGGGCCCTGCACCCCATGGGAGACCAGGAAAAAGCACCTGGATCCTGGCTCCTGCCATCGGATCAGCGCGGTGCGCCGGCTGCAGCGGCGGCCATTGGAGGGTGAACCAACGGCAAAAGGAAGACCTTTCTCTCTCTGTCTCTCTCTCACTGTCCACTCTGCCTGTCAAAAAAAAGAAAAAAAAAAACGGGGTTTCACTTAATCGTAAATAAGTGGCCTCATGGGTCCTTCAGTTGCAACGAGCCCAGGTGGTCTTCCACCAGGAAAAGCCCATAGGCCGTTCTAAGCTTTCTGCCCCTTGGTTCTTCCGAAGTTGTACCTCTTCACCAGGAAAAGAACTTATTTTGCAAATTTTTTTAAGCATTTTTTTCGGATTGATCGACAGCTCTTTTGAATCACATACTCACAATAGTTTCATTTATATTGATTTGTCGACCATTATCTATTGATATCCCACCGTGCCAAATGAAGGTTGAACTTACAATTCTGCTATGAGATCACCGGGCATGCATTCGCCTGTACCAGTCTTTTTCTGCGCAAGATAACTCTCATGTTGGTCATTATGATAACCGATGAGCCAACACAATCCCGGAAAGAGTTTCTCATCAACTTCTTCTTGGGCCAAGTAGTTGCCCCATTTCACCGCGGAGGGGAGTGCGGTTCTTAAACTATGTAACTTATTTATTTATAAAACAGACTGTCAGAGGGGGGAGAGATAGGGAGATCCACCATCTGGAAATTCAATCAAAAAATGACAACAAGTGCAAGGTCATATGCCGGCGCCCGACCCCAGGCCAGGAACCACATCCTGATCCCCTACATGCGGCACAGCGATCCCATTCCTTGGGATATCATCCACTCAGTGTTTTTCCTTGCATTTTATTTTTGAACTTGGAGAGGGAGAGGGAGAGAGAGAGGGAGAGGGAGAGGGAGAGGGAGAGGGAGAGGGAGAGGGAGAGGGAGAGAGATCTTCCATCTTCTGGTTCACTCTCCAAATGGCTACAACAGCCAGGGCCGAGCCAGGCAGAAGCCAGGAGCCTGGAGCTTGATTAGGGTCTCTTACATGGGTGGCAGGGGCCCAAACATTTCGGCCATCTGCCACTCCTTTCCCCAGCACGTTAGAAGGGAGCGGCATTGGAAGTAGAGCAGCTGTGACTTGAATTGCTACTCATATGGAGTCACAGGAGGCAGCTTAACCCACTGCACCACAATGCCAGCCCCTCTAAGTGCCCTTCTGATAAGCTGAGGCAGGGGCCAACGTCGTGGCCCAGCAGGTTAAGCCTCCATTTGCAACACTGGCATCCCACACTGGAGCACCAGTTTGAGTCCTGGCTGCTCCACTTCTGACCTGGCTTCCTGCTAACACACCTGGGAAGGCAGCATAACATGGTCCCTGGGGAAGACCTGGATGGAGTTCTGTCTCCTGATTTTGGCCTGGCCCAGCCCCAGTCACTGAGGCCATCTGAGAGTGAACCACATACTGAAGATGTCTGTCTGTCTGTCTCTTTCTCTCTGTCATTCTGCTTTTCAAATACATAAATAAATCTTAAAAAAAAAAAAAAAAAGCTGAGGTATGTATCTGCCAAAACGATTTCTGAAGGACAAAGATAAAGTTCTAAGTTAAACTGATTCAGCAACCCACAGACAAATGAGGGAAAAAATGGAGAGAAAACATCATTACACTCTCTTGAAAATCAAAGAAAGAATAAAATCAGCATACCTAACTCTGATTACTCTTGGGAGAGGAATGAAGCTACCAAACCTCTGCAATTAGGTTTGTCAAAACTTCATAATGACGTTCACACACTCAGAATCTCCCCTGAGGCTATCCTAAGGAGTGAACACTCGGCAGCGCAGGGCGAGTTACCTGGAGATGCTCCTCAGGCACTATGACTGGACCACATTTGGTGTGTGCGGCACACTCTCCAGTACAGTACCTATGAGGGTCATTTTCCTTCCGTAGGTACTGGTTTGTTGCACATTGTCTTCAGTTCATGTGTGTATCAAATTATTTTTTAAAACAAAGAACAGTTTAGAGAAGTTAAAAACACTGGTAATAAACTAGTCACCAATATATTAGTTAATAACGGCTAGTAGTTTAACAAGGAAACTAGCCTAAAAAAAGAATTTTGGTACTATGGGAACTCAAACACCCAAATACTTCAGGAAGTCAACACTGTGAGCATGTGGAAGGAAGAGGGTGTGTGGAACACTGGCCAGCTACATCTTAGGAGGAAGCCCAGGGGGCCACCTTCTGGTGGAAAATCAAGGGAAGAACAATGATCCAGCAGAGCACATTTTTAATCTTTTTAAATACCTTGTTGCTTGGTCTCTAAGAAGCATAGTGAACTACCCTAGCGTAAGTTCCATACTTGGCCATATTGGTAGAATGGGAAGGGCAGAATACTAAATGAATGAAGAACAGAATCCCTGTTTAATGTGACATACCTGCTAAGTAAGATAGTGCCAGCAGGTCGACGAACCTGGAAAGTCTTCTCTAGATAAGAAATAGCTTGTGGGAAAAGTTTGTTCTAAAAGAGTTGGAAAAAAAAGAACTATAGTCAAGGGATAAATTACATTTAAGACAAGCAAGCACAGGATATAATGACTGAGAGACAAAAGGCTCTGGAACACAGACACTAGTTAGTAAAAGGTTGTACAGTAAGGCTAAGAGGAAAGGAATTTCCTTACATTCTAATTGAGTCTAGGAAAAGAGCACCGAGTAGAAACCTCCTTCCCTACTCTCATTTAAATGGAAAACTAAAAAGCACAGATCTCAACCATGAGTTAGATTACTTCAAATATGAGACAATGTAGATGATGCCAACATTAGATAAGTTTATGTTTATCTGAACGTCAGAGTTACAAAGAGAGGAGAGAGAAATCTTCCATCTGCTGGTTCACTCCCCATGTAGCCTCCATGGCTAGGACTGAACCAGGCTGGAGCCAGGAACTGGGAGCTTCAGCAGGGTCTCCCACGTGAGTGGCAGGGGCCCAAAGATGATTTGGGTCATCTTCCCACTGATTTTCCCAGACCATTAGCAGGGAGCTGGATCAGAAGTGGGGCAGCCAGGACACAAACTTGTACAAGAACAAGTGCCCATATGGGATTGCTGGCTGACTGCAGTTTTACCCACTACAAACAACGCTGGCTCCAAGAAACTCTTACGTCTAGTTATTCACCTATTCCTGTGGCCCATAGTGAACTGGGTTAATATGTGAGTTAGACTTTACACAGATAAACATCTAATGAGATTAGCACTTCTATAAACAACCTCAGCATTTCCACCATCATCTTAATTTATCTCCAGGAAAGGACATTTCCACCAAGAGAATGTTCTTCATGCAAATGTTCTCAACGTATTTCATAAATAATTTTTTTCATCTATCCTCATCATATCCTGCTCCCAAACACCTTGGGAGAGCAAGTAAGAAAATGAGAAGACAGATGCAATATGAAAGTATAAAAAAGGAGGGCTGGCGCTGTGGCACAGCAGGTTAAGCAGCCGCCTTCAGTGCCAGCAGCCCATATGGGCACCAGTGGTTTCCCAGTCCTAGTTGCTCCATTTCTAATCCAGCCCCCTGATAATGTACCTGGACCCCTACCACCCCTGTGAGACACCTTGATGAAGCTCCTGGCTCCTGGCTTCATTCCAGCCCAGGCCACTGTGTCCATTTCGGGAGTGAACCAATGGGTGGAAGCTAGTTCTGTCTCTCCTCCCCTCTCTCTGTAGCTCTGCCTTTCAAATAAATAAATAAACCTTTTATTAAAAAAGTATAAAAAAAAACTACTTTAATATCAAACATCAATAAAATTTTGGTGAGATTACAAAGATACCTTTGGTAAAATGATAAATATACTCACAACCAACATCTTTTATTCAGTCATTCACAAAACAGTCATTCTATTTTTCCTTTACTGAGATAGAATTTACATATGATAAGATGCACCTATGTTAAGTATTCAATTTAAGCCATAAGTATTTATTACATACCTTTACAAGATATCTTTTCTCAGGAAGCAACCTGAAAATGATGACATAAAACATAAGAATTGCCATAAGAACATAAGAACAGAACACTGTCTCATCTCTTGGGATGCATCTGTCAAGAGCCCACAGAATGCTATCCACAGTCTCTGCTGTCCAAATCTCAATTCACCTCCATGAGTCCTGGAGAGTTCACCGCATGCGAAAGCATGTGCTACACATGACCACAAGTTCTCTCATTCACTTGGGATGTTAAGGATAGGGTGAGACGACAACTATATCTAAACATTCTGCATAAACTACTACAGATTCATAATTAATCTGTGTGGACTATATAATCTCTCTGGTCATAATTTTATAAACTTTCTTATTATTGTTTGCATCAGTACTTGTTATTTCTCCATCAGGTACTCATTAACAAGTACCTTCCAGGTTTGTTATTGGCCATACCCATGAATATTCATATTTATTCTGTTTAAGTTATTCATGATATATAGACTTTAGTTATATCCCCTGGCCTCTATCTTTTTAGACTAAAAGGCATTTTCAGCTTAATTTTATCTTAAAGGTACACTAGTCCTATTTTAACCCCATTTATGGACTTCTTAAAATGTCAGGTAACATTACAAATATTATAATATTTATATGTATAATAAAAATTTTGAAAAATAATGGTGTACTTACTCTTCAATACTTTTATCATACACAGTTTTGATTCTTAAATGCTCTGCAACATCCCTCTTCACAACATGATTTGCCTTAAGATGAACCTTATTTATGACCTGAAAAAGGGGAAGATTTGACAAAAAACTTAAAGCCATATAGATTAGCCAACTGGGACCCAAACTTAAAGTTAATTAATTAAATCTCAAATATAATATCCTGAGAAAAAGTCCCTAGGTGCATTCATATTCATCATTTATGATTCCTGAATCTTAAGCACCTTTCAAGGAAACACTACTGTCTAGGAGTCCAATACTGTGGACTTACATGACTAAATCATTCTATGACGGGCTGGCACTGTGGCACAGCAGGTTAACCCGCTGCCTGTAATGCTGGCATCCCATATGGATGCCATATGGGACCAGTTCAAGTCCCAGCTGCTCAGTTTCCAATCCAGCTCCCTGCTAATGCACCTGGGAAGGCAATGGAAGATGGTCCAAGTCTTTGGGCCCCTGCAGCCATGTGGGAGACCCAACTCCTGACTTCTTGCTTTGGTCTTGCCCAGCTCTGGCTATTGCGGTCATGTGGGAGTGAACCAGCAGACGGAAGATCTCTCTCTGTCTCTCCCTGTCGCTGACTTTCAAATAAATATTAAATGGCCCTTTAAAAAAAATCATTCTGGGGAGAGAAGCTGCCAAAAAGATTTTAGATTTGTGGCTTATTTGTAGTTTTTATATAGATTATTTTTTTATTGACTTTTGAGTCTTCAGAACATGACAGGAAGAGACCACTTTAAAACAGCACAAAACTTTCCTTAAAAAAAAAAAAAAAGGCCGGCGCCGCGGCTCACTAGGCTAATCCTCCGCCTAGCAGCGCCGGCACACCGGGTTCTAGTCCCGGTTGGGGCGCGGGATTCTGTCCCGGTTGCCCCTCTTCCAGGCCAGCCCTCTGCTGTGGCCAGGGAGTGCAATGGAGGATGGCCCAAGTGCTTGGGCCCTGCACCCGCATGGGAGACCAGGAAAAGCACCTGGCTCCTGGCTCCTGCCATCGGATCAGCGCGGTGCGCAGGCCGCAAGTGCGCTGGCTGCGGTGGCCATTGGAGGGTGAACCAATGGCAAAAGGAAGACCTTTCTCTCTCTCTCTCACTATCCACTCTGCATGTCAAAAAAAAAAAAAAAAAAAAAAAAAAAGAGTTGGCCGGCGCCGCGGCTCACTAGGCTAATCTCCATCTGCGGCGCCGGCACATCGGGTTCTAGTGCCAGTCGGGGCGCCGGATTCTGTCCCAGTTGCTCCTCTTCCAGTCCAGCTCTCTGCTGTGGCCTGGGAAGGCAGTGGAGGATGGCCCAAGTGCTTGGGCCCTGCACCCGCATGGGAGACCAGGAGGAAACACCTGGCTCCTGGCTTCAGATCAGCGCAGTGCCAGCCGTGGCGGCCATTTGGCGGGTGAACCAACGGAAAGAAGACCTTTCTCTCTGTTTCTCTCTGTCTCTCTCTGTCTCTCTCTCTCTCTAACTCTGCCTGTAAAAAAAAAAAAAAAAGAAAGAAAAAGAAAAAGAGTTTCCCTTTGAATGCTTTTTCCAGTTCACACTACATGATTTTTTCAGGCAGGAATAAGAGAGGAAAAAAATAAGCTGTTCTAGCTATACTGTCTCATTCTTATGACTCCAGCAATGAACAATCACATTTTTCTTCTGTACTATTTCTGAAGACTTATACAAGAAAAAGGAAATTTTATATATTCTAGAAAAGCAACTATGCCTTGCCTTTGGGCTATTACCATAACATAGTAACAGTCACAGATTGCCACAATACCTATCACCTACTCTACAGTAATGTTCTGACACCCTACTTCTAATCTTTTCCCCATTCCACGTAACCCGTATCTCCAGGGAACAGATTATTATATTGCCAGTAAAAAGCTATCAAAACTGTTTGAGCACAGCAATGGGATACGGTATTCTCAGCAGCATTTTAGGAAATTTGCAGTCTTCAATCTTTAAATTGATATTCAAAACCCTCCAGAAGCCAGGGATTAAGGATTTAGTCTACCAATTGCTAGGGTTCTATTCTTGCCTCCAGACTTGCTAACTCTGATCTCAGCAAAGTTTCTTTTCTTTCTTTCTTTCTTTTTTTTTTTTTTAAAGATATTTGTGTGTGTATTTAGATATGTGTGTATTTGAAAGGCAGAGTAACAGAGAAAGAGATCTTCCAACCACTGGTTCACCTCCAAATGCCTAAAACAGTAGGGGCTGGGCCAAGCCAAAGCCAGGAGTCTGAAACTCCATTCCTGTCTCTTACCTGGGTGGCACAGACTCATCACCTGTTGCTTCCCAGGATGTACATTAGCAGATCAGAAATGGAAGAGCCAGGACTCTGATGCAGGATATGGGCCTCCCAAATGGTGGCTTAACCCACCATACCACAAGACATGGCCCTAAGATCTTCTTTTTTAATTGGTTCAAGTTAATGAAGGATAAATAAACCTAATAATTATTATAATAAAATGAATAAAGATTACAAAAGGAAGGAACTTAAGTCAGACTTAAAGAAACTTAACTATATAGATGCTTCAGGGAGAAGGTAGTATTTCATGAACGACTTGAAAGAGTGAAATGGAGATCAACATACCTCTGAACTCAGATGCAATACACCATAGGGCAAAGTACAAAATCAGGGGTATAAAGCTTAGCAATTACATGTAAAAATAGAAGGCCGGCGCCGCGGCTCACTAGGCTAATCCTCCGCCTAGCGGCGCCGGCACACCGGGTTCTAGTCCCGGTTGGGGCGCCGGATTCTGTCCCGGTTGCCCCTCTTCCAGGCCAGCCCTCTGCTGTGGCCAGGGAGTGCAGTGGAGGATGGCCCAAGTGCTTGGGCCCTGCACCCCATGGGAGACCAGGAAAAGCACCTGGCTCCTGGCTACTGCCATCGGATCAGCGCGGTGCGCCGGCCGCAGCGCGCCTGCCGCGGCGGCCATTGGAGGGTGAACCAACGGCAAAGGAAGACCTTTCTCTCTGTCTCTCTCTCTCACTGTCCACTCTGCCTGTCAGAAAAAAAAAAAAAAAAATAGATATTGGGAACTACTGGAACAGCAGCTTAACATGACTAACCTCCCTGCAGATAACACATTACAAAATCTGGATAAAACATTACAAACAATAAAATTTAAAGGTACTGTGGGTAAAAAGGACAGCAGCATCTGGATCAAGCTACCCTTGGAACACAGCAATTAGACCTCTCTGAGACCCACAAGTCTTGAGTTTTTGCCTGTAAGCACTCCTCAGTCTTTGTGTCTGAGCTTGCAACACACAAAGGTAGGAAGGAAGTCCCACACAGGCAGAAGACACAGTGGGTTCCCAAAAAATCTGCAAATCAGATCCCTAACTGATCACCCACCTAATTCTTGGGCTGGCTACTAAAATTACACATGTGTAGAGTAAAACTCATCAAAGAACAGCAGCAAAAAGCTGAAGTGAGCAAGACATGAGCTACTGCCAGCAACAGGAGACAGAGTCTGGAATTTTGGGTACAGAGGAACATAGAGAGTCCAGAGTCTTTACAACACATTACACATGGTGTCCATTATTTGACCAAAAATTGGTAGCCACCAGAGTAAAAATTAAAAATGTGACCCATACTGAGGAAAAAAGCAGTGAATGGAAACTGACCCTAAGATGATCTGAATTTAAACTCTGATGCAGTTTAAATGTGTTCAGGTACTTAAAGGAAAATCTATACATAATGAGTAAGTAGATGGGGAACCTCAACAGAGAAGACTATGGGAAAGAATAAAATGGAATTCTAGAACTTAAAAGCACAACCACTAAAATGAAAAATTCACTGGAAAGGATTAGAGGAAACTGGAAGAGTGCCATTTGGCATAGTAGTTAAGACACTGCTGGGGACACCCGCATCTTATACCAGAGTGTCTGGGTTCAAGCTCCAGCTCTGCTCCAGATTCCTGTTTCTATTTATGCATACCCTGGGAGGTAGTAAGTGACGGCTCGAGTAATGGTCCTCTGACGCCCACATGGGAAACCTAGATTGAATTCCTGTCTCCCAGCTTTAGCCTAGCTCAGCCTGTACTGTTGTGGGCATTTGGAGACTAAACCAGTGGATGTGAGATTTCTGTCTATGTGTCTGTCTGTCTCTCTCTCTTGTTTTCTCTGCCTTACAGATAAGTAAAATAAAAAATTTTTAAAAGAAAATAATATTGGAGATGGCAGAAACATAAGTTAATTTTAAGACAGATCAAAAGAAATTATACAATCTGAAGAAGGGGGAAACTAAGGAAATAAAGCCTGAGAGAATGAGGGGCTAATACCAAACATTCTAACAGACATATAATTCATTAGAATTAGAATCCTACAAGGAGAGGAAAAACATTGAGACAGAGAAAATATTTGAAGAAAAAGGAAAAAATTTCAAATTTGAGGACAGACATCAACTTATAGATCTAAAAAGTTTACTGAAACTCAAGTGGTATTTAAAAAAACAAAGATCCCGTGGCGCCGTGGCTCAATAGGCTAATCCTCCGCCTGCGGCGCTGGCACCCAGGGTTCTAGTCCTGGTTGCTTCTCTTCCAGTCCAGCTCTCTGCTATGGCCTGGGAGTGCAGTGGAGGATGGCCCAAGTACTTGGGCCCTGCACCCGCATGGGAGACCAGGAGAAGCACCTGGCTCCTGCCTTCGGATAAGCGCGGTGCGCCGGCCGTAGCAGCCATTGTGGGGCGAACCAACGGAAAAAGGAAAACCTTTCTGTCCCTCTTCCCTTTTTGTTCACTCTGTCAAAACACACACACACACACACACACACACACACACACAACAACAACAACAACAACAAAGATCCATCACTCAGGTACACCAAACTTGTAGAATCCAAAAATAAAGAGAAAAATGTGAAAGCAAAGAGAGAAAAATGACACATTCTCTAAAAGGGGGAGAACTTCCAAAAGGAAGTTATTTTTTATCAAGAACAATGGAGAGGCAGGCATTTGGCACAGCCTTTAAGCCAATGCTTTGGATGCCTGCTTCACATATACAAGGGCCTGGGTTCCAGTCCCAGCTCCACTCTCCATTCCAGCTTTCTGCTAATGAGCAGTCAAGTAGGTACCCTCCCTTCCACATGCGAGAATGGGATTTAGTCTTCTGGCTTTGGCCTGGCCTATCCCTGGCTATTGTGAGGATCTGGGGTGTGAATCACTGGATGAGAGATCTCCATCTGTCTATCTCTTTGACTTTCAAATGAATAAAAATAGATAACTAAATTTTAAAAAGCAATGGAGATGAAAAGACAGTGGAGCAAATACCTAAAGGGCTAAAAGCAAGACAGGCAACGCAGAAATCCAAATTCAATGAAACTACCCTCCAGAAATGAGGAAGACATAGACATTTTAGATAAATGAAACTGGAAGAATCCATTGCTCATAGACTTACACTGCAAGAAATGCTAAAGGTCACTGGAATGACACAGATGGCCATCAGGTTCTATAGGAAGGAATGAAGACCAGTAAAAAGGGCAGATATGTGAGTAGATATAAGAGACTGCTGTGTAGAAAAGAGCTAAGCCAGCAGGCCTGAGACTGCTGCTTAGAAAAGGCACCTTGCAGGGCATTTGCTGGACCTAGCAGTTAAGATGCTGGCTGGGACACATGCATTTGCTATCAGAGTCGGGGTTTGATTCTTAGCTCCACTCCTGATTCCAGCCTGCTGTTAACACATGCCCTGGGAGGCAGCAGATGATGGCTCAAATAGCTGCCAACCACAGAGGAGAACTGGACTGAGCTCTGGGATGGATCCTGGCTTCAGCCTGACTCAGTCCCTGCAGTTGTAGGCTTTGGAGAGTGAACTGTAAAGGGGGGAACTGCTTTCTATTTTTGTTGATTTGTCCCTGGATGTCTCTCAAATTTTGAAAAACAAAACAAAAACTACAAATCAAAATCTCTCATGAATATAATGTAAAATCAACAAATTATTAGCAGACCAGGGGCTGACACTGTGGCGCAGATTAAGCCTCCACCTGCAATGCCAGCATCCCACATAAGCATCAGTTTGTCCCAGATGCTCCACTTCTGATCCAGCTCCCTGACAGTGCACCTAGGAAAGGGATGGAAGATAGCCTAAGTGCTTGTATCCCTGTGACCTTCATGGGAGACCCAGAGAGAGTTCCTGGCTCCTGGCTCTCGCCTGGCTCAGTCAGAGTTGCTGCAGTCACTTGCAGAGTGAACCAGCTGATGGACAATCTGTCTGCCACTCTGCCTTTTAAATAAGTACATCTTTAAAAGATTTATTTTAAGATCAAATCAAGCAAAATGTAAAAAGGGGAATACATCATAATCAAGTGAGATGGGGTTTTAAAAGACTTTGAATTATTGACTTTGTTTGCAAGGCAGAGACAGAGAGAAAGAGAGCTCATCCTCTGGTTCACTCCCTGAATGCTCAGGAGGCAGGAACTCAATTCAAGACTCCTATGTGGGTGTCAGGGACCCAAATACTTGAACCTTCACCTGCTGCCTCGCAGGGTACACAATAGTAGGAAGCTGGAATGAGGAGTGGAACAAGGACTCAAACCCAGGCACTTCAATGAGCACTGGTTCACGCCCTGGTTGCTCCACTTCCTTTTTTTTTTTTTTTTAAGATTTATTCATTTACTTATTTGAAAGGCAGAACAACAGAGAGACACAGAGAGAGAGAGAGAGAGAGAGAGAGAGAGAGAGTTTTCATCCATTAATTCATTCCCCAAATGGCTCCAACAGCCAGATCGGGGCCAGCCTGAAGTTAAGAGCCAGGAACTCCATCCTGGTCTCCCACATGGGTCACAGGTGCACATTCCCCTGGGCCACCATCAGCTGCCTTCCTAGATACATCAGCAGTAAGCTGGATGGGAAGCAGAACAGCTGGGACTCAAACCGCACACAGATTTTGGGATGCCAGCACCCCAAGCGGCAGCTTAAGCCAGTGCTCCATAATGCCATAATGCCTGAGGGTGTCTTCATGGCTGTGCCAAGCACTTGCCCCTCCTCAAGTGAGGTTAATTACAGTAATGCAAGGCTCATTCAGTATTTTAAAACATATTTATTTTGTATTTATTTGAAAGAGTTATAGAGAGAGGTAGAGATAGAGATTCTTCCATCCACTGGTTCACTTCCCAAATGGCCCAAGCTGAGCCGATCTGAACCCAGGAGCCTCTTCTGCATCTCCCACATGAGTGCAAGGGCCCAAACACTTAGGCTGTCCTTCACTGCACTCCCAGGCACATTAGCAGGGAGCTGGATTGGAAGTGGAGCAGCCAGGACTTGAATCAGCACCCATATGGGATGTTGGCACAGCAGACCGGGGCTTTAACCTGCTGTGCCACAGAGCCGGTCCCTCATGCAGTATTTTTAAAAAATAAGTATCATTAACAATATCGACAGAGTAAGAAGAAGTCATGTGGTCATATCAGCTGACGCAGGAAAGTCATTTCACAAAATTCAACACTGATTCATGATAAAACTAGAAAACCAGGAATAGAGGGAGGGCACTATGGTGCAGCAAGTTAAGCTGTGGCTTAACTCAAGCTGGAATGCCCGCTTAAGTCCCAGCTGCTCTACACTTGTGATCCAGCTGCCTGCTAATGCACCTGGGAGGCAGGGGATGACAGCGTAAGTTCTTGGGTTCCTATTACCCATCAGAGAGACCAGATGGAGTTCCTGGCTCTGGCCCATCAGAGCCCTAGCTGTTGTGGGCATTTGGGGAGTGAATTAGTGGATGGAAGCTCTCTGTTACTCTGCCTTTTGAATAAATACAAATGAACAAACACTTTAAAAGAAACAGGAAAATTTTGTATTATCTGCCCCCCCACCAAAGGTAGGAGATGGGTCCATGGAGTCATCATATTATTGATTTTATTTAATTTATATAATAAAAATAAAAGAAAAATTGATATGCTTTAGTTAAGAACAAGTCAATGTGTTTGCAGTTCCCTGTCACCATCTAGACAAAAAAGGTTACTGTAACTTCCTGCAGCATTTAACACAGGTGTAGCCACTAGTATGAGTAGAGTGATTTGGTAGACTGTAACCAGGACAAAGAAAGGCAAATGGTAAGGATGATATATATACACTTCATGAAGAACCAGGAAAATTTCTTAGGGATGAGACCTTCCCAGAACTTAAGCACTAAAACCATGAACTTTGGTCAGACAAGAGATACAAATAGATATAATGGGCAGCAGCTTCAGGAAGCTTTCAGCTCCATAAAACAAACTTTAACAACAGTCATCCCCAAAGCAAAGGAGCTGCCCCGGACAGAAAACCTTCCCTACCATGGAGACGGTCAAATACAACTTGGGGATTGGCACACTGGCAACACCACTAAAAGGAAGCAGTTACCAAGGTTCCTTCTAGCACACAAATTCTACAGTTATCTGAACTGCTTTCTCTTATTTTAACTCAAATTCAAAGAGAAAAAACAGGGCTTTGTGGGAATTAAATTGAAAGGGGGGGGGGGAGCCAAAATGCAATGTCATGATAAAAGCTGTAATACTGCTACTAACCTCAAACTTAGGATTTTGCCTCACATGGCAAAATCAAAAAGTATGCATGTGATACTTTTTACCACAAAAATGAGTGGTCATGGAGGATTTCTAGGCTGAATTGAAAATTCCAAGTGAATCTTGCCTGAAGTACTAAGACAGACTGTAAGCCCAATCACAACATGCAGCCCTGCTCCAGGTACTGGCCCTCTGGTCCCAGAATAATAGAGTATTGTGGGCCCACTTCAGAGCTAAGTTCTGTGTCTTGCGACAGGAACCTTATCCCAAGGCACCTTACAATTTAACTACAAAGGCAAGACCCGCTTGAAGAAGGAGCCATTACCACGGGGCAGTACTTGGTCATTCCATGCCTCAAAACAACACAGATAAGCCACACTATGAAATGGAAAGAACAGCAGGCTGCCCGAAGAACTTAAACAGGGAGAAAAATAAGGTGGGAAGCAGGCAGGCACTTCCAGGGCAGCGGAACTTGGCGCAGCAAAAATCACTTGAAAATAAACCTGGATTCTGTTTCCAGAACAGCCCCCCCCCCCCCATTTCCCTCAACACCTTTTGTCTGGCTCTCCTTTCTACACCTTCCCAAATCTTCCCATCAGTCGTTCCCAACGTGCGGTTCCTTGACAAGCAGCATCACCACCTAGGAACTTGAACGGCCGATCCTGGGGACCCATCCCAAGCCAGAAAGCCGGGGCGCAATCTGTGTTGGCACATCGCTCCAGGTGGTTCTGAGGCATGCTCCAGTCCCAGAACCCCCGCTCCCAGGGCCACCTCCCAAGCACGGCCTCCGCGCAGGAAAGAGATGAGGTTCCGAACGCCTAACAGAGCCTTCGCGGGGTGCAGGCGGCTGGCGGAGGTCGCAGCCTTGCCAGTCCAGTCTCGGTTCCAAATTCGGGTTCTCCTGCAGAACACCTTCTCCCAAACACTGCTCTCGGCGCCAGCCCCTCCCGAGTGACTTTCCCCTCCTAAGGCCCGCTCCCGCCCCTCCTTCGCCCTACCTCGGTGTCAGAGGGGACGTGGTGCCGGCAGGGAGGGGCACTGCCCAAGGAGACAGGAAGAGTTGTGACGCTGGTCGGGAGCCCGCCTAACAGCAGTAAGACGCCTCGGACCCACAGAGGGCCGCCGCGCCGCCACCGGCTCCGGCCCGGGCCTGGACACGCGTAATCTGCGGCTCCCCTGCACCCGGCCGCCATCTTCGGGCCGCGCGTCGTTACCATGGAGCGCGTGACGCCTCCGCGCCGGGCCCGCCCCGCCCCTCGCCGTCGGGGCAGGTGGAGGGAGCCGCCGGCGCGAGGACTGAACATTGGCTGACGTCACCGGCACCGAGTTATCGGCTACAGACGAGCCCAGCTACCACGTCCGCCGCTCGTGGAGCAAAGCCGGCCAATAAACGCTGCTCAGTGGCCCACGTGGGCTGACAACAGGCAAGAACAAACGCCGGCGGGCGTTAGCCATAGACGGAGGGTGGCATGCCTGTTTTTAAATAGTGGCAGTTTTTCCAGTTCCTTTATTCACCAGAAATATGCAAGCACTTAGGTGGACATATAAACAGCTGCAGAATCTTAAGGTGCAGTATGAAAGGCGAGTGAAACCACCTTTTTACTTCTCAGTCACCATCTTTACGTCCGTATCAACTATTTCCTATGAAATCAATCGTGTTCTATAGTACTGTACTCAATTTCATCCTTTAACCTTCATCTAACCAAGAACTGCACTAACCCAGGAAGAGCAGGTGGTTACTGGCCATTAAGGCAACTACATTAAAAGCTGAGCTATGAGAAACTATGAAAAATGGAAAACTGGGGCCAATCTCCCCATGGCCCATGAACAAAATGAAAACCAGGGCTGAAAACAGAGCTGAAAATTATTTAACGGGAACTGAATATTGGAGATTACTATAAATGACGATACTCCAAAATGCACCAATGTGATCCCCCAAATGAAGGTGGCAGCCAAAATACACAAGTGCACTAAAGATACTGTATAAAATTACCTTCAGGCTGTGTGCATAAAGATATGAAACATAAGCTCCATGTTTAGACTTGGGTCCCATTACATTATTATAAATATGCAAATATCCAGAATCAAACATTTCAGAACCCTCTTTGAAGATGCTCACCCAGTCTACCATTTTACATGTGAGCAAAAGTTCATTAATGTGTCTAAATAATGGTTGCTGGGATTCCAAAGTAACTTTCTTAAAAACAATGTATATATTTTTAGACTTATTTCAAAGACAGAGTAAAAGAGGAGAGTCAGATCTTCCATCCGCTGGTTCACTCCCTAACCGCTAGAGCTAAGCCAATCCGAAGCTAGGAGCCAGGAGCTGCTTCTCCATCTCTGATGTGGGTGTAGGGGCCCAGGCACTTGGGCCATCTTCCACTGCTTTCCCAGGCAGCAGGGGGCTGGATCAGAAGTGGGGCAACTGGGACTTGAACCAGCAACCATATGGGACACCAGCATTACAGGTAGTGGCTTAACCTGATATGCCACAGCACAGTCCCCAAATTTGTAACTTTCAAAACATGCCTTTTCCATTGCAAAACAATAAAATTGCTGATTGTGAACAATTGTGAACAAAGAATGGAAGTGGTCATTTCAAGCTCCTAGCTGTTAATAGCAATGTCACCACAGAGGCAGTCTGAATGACAGTGGACAGGTGGGCATGCCACAAAGGCCCCTTTCTATAGATACTCCTAACAAAGGTGACATGCGTTAGGAGACTTTCCCTTTCCATGCCTAATCCACACTTCTAATATACGAATGCCTTCCTGGACATAATCCACATGCTCCTCAGTCCCCTAATTTGTTGTCCCCCTAACCCCTTCCCTGGTTCCTCAGTTTTGTAACACAGCCAGAAAAACCAGGATTGTTAACCATAGACTCCACAACCACTTTTAAAATGGTACCAACAGGGATGGTGTTGTGCTGCAGCAGAGAAGCCAGCCTTTCTTAGTCACAGGAGTGTCAAAACGCTGATCTAACTTCCTAATGCACCTGGGAAAGCATGACTGTGGCCCAAGTACTTGGGACACTCAGCAGCATTTCAAGCCCCAGGCTTTGTCCTGTTGCAGCAACTTGGGGATTTAACTTGGAGATTATCACTTTGCCTTCTGAATGAATCCTTTAACAAGGTATCATTGACATCATCTATTTCTGTGCTCAAAGATACACAATTTTCCCTGGTGACAGTTCTACCATAATTATGTCTCCCAAATGAATTAAACCATGATGACACTATTACATACAGGAGTATTAGTCTAGGGGCTGGCATTGTGGTGTAGTAGGCAAAGCTTCCATTCCAAATGGGCAATGGTTCATGTGCCAGCTCCTCTGCTTCTGATCCATTTCCCTGCTAATGGTCTGGGAAAGCAGTGGAAGGCCCAACTGCTCCAGCCCTTGCCACTCGTAGGAGATACCAAGCAGCAGCTCCTGGGTCCAGTCTGCCCCAGCACTGGCGGTTGCAGCCATTCGGAGCCAGTAGACCTTTGATCTCTTCAACTCTTTCAAAATCTTCAGAAACATTTATGTAAAAATCCTCAGGACAGATTGTAAAATCTCATCTTGCGACTTTTCTAGATTTACTTTCATTCACCCAACAGACTTGTTCACACCAAGTGATCATTTGAATACCTCCGCAGATGCCTTCTGTGTTCCTAAGATTGTTGTGCAATTTCTTTTTCTGGGATGGCTTATTTTTCCTTCTGGACATACACTTTAAAGCTTTTATTATATAAGCAACATATTCACATGCCCCATATCCCTATTCCCAGAGTACCAATCACATCTACTTAAGCAGCTTCATGAACAAATTATGCTTTTTTTTGAGACCTAAATCCCACTGGAGTAGGTCCAAAATTGGCACTTCCAGCCCTTGAACCGAGACTGATTCCAATTTCCTTCCTGCACCCCTTCCTTCAAAGGTCTTTCTCTCAATGCACATCTAGCAGGCAACTTTTTTGGGGCATTTGACAGGAGGACTGTAAAAAGGGATTGTTTGGCAAACTGTTTACTGTTAAAACCTTCAGTGAATTTAAAGGTCTATTAATGAAAGGACAGGCTGTATGTAACATCAATTAAAAATCTATGAGGATGTCATGGCAAACCGATCCTTGATTTTTAACTTTTAGCAATCAAGAGATTTAAAACATTCTGCTTTTCAAGTAAATATTAAAATATTCTAGAGCCCTTCAAATATGCCAAAATCTCAATCTGCATGTAAAATGCAGTAAAACCTGAGGTTAAAGAATGCTAATTATAGGTTAAATAATTTTTCTGAGATGGAAATGTGGCATATTCTCAGCTTACACAGCTCCCAATCAAAAACTGAATGACCTAACCCCAACCTGTCTGAATAAGCTGCCAATTTCCATCAATATAATCTCCTTTCAAACTAGTCCCAATTCCCATTTTACTGTTTCACAACCAATCTATAAACAAGTGCATACCATTGTAAGGCACCTTAAGACATTATTTTATGCTTCTTTTAAGTGTAAGGAAACCCATCACATTTCCAATCTCCCCAAAACTTATTCTTCCCAATAGGGCTTTGTATTAAGATATTCACATTAAACCCCATTAGCTTTCTAAGTCTTCTTAACTGCCATAAATATATAGCCCTGACATCCTTGTATTCTGACAATGCTGATAACTGACACAATTTTAAGCATACAGTAACACAATTTAGGGCAGTAAGTGTTTCAAGTCAATTAACAAAATTACAAGAGAACAAATCCATTTTTATTTATTTACTTTTCAATAGTTTAAATCCTTGAGGGGTACAGCATCTGGGGGAAAAACATAAAAACATTAAGTGAATGTTCTGAGTACTGAAAAGTACATTTTTCTAATGACAGAAGGAAAGTCTTCTGATACTAAATCTTAATTCTTCAACAGCTCAACAGTAGCCCACAGCTCCAAGAATAAAATATACTAAGGATGAACCCTAACTAAACAAAAACCAGGAGTTAAAAATTTGAGAAAATTACCTACTCTAATATTGGCATACTAGAATTCAGGAGGTATTAAGAATTAGGTTAGGAAAAGTTGTGCTCAATTTTTACCTTCTGGAATTTACTTCAGTGCCCAATAAGTACCTTTGCTACAAACTTGTTCACTATTTTCCCTAGGCAGCTTTAGCAAAATCTGGAATTTAGGCGTATTCCATTTGAGCACTTTGCCTTCACTTTCCTTTAGAATGCAACAATCAGATTTTTTTTTTTTACAGGCAGAGTGGACAGTGAGAGACGGAAAGGTCTTCCTTTTGCTGTTGGTTCACCCTCCAATGGCCGCCGTGGCCGGTGCACCGTGCTGATCCAAAGGCAGGAGCCAGGTACTTCTCCTGGTCTCCCATGGGGTGCAGGGCCCAAGCACTTGGGCCATCCTCCACTGCACTCCCTGGCCACAGCAGTGAGCTGGCCTGGAAGAGGGGCAACCGGGATAAAATCCGGTGCCCCAACCGGGACTAGATCCCGGTGTGCTGGCACCGCTAGGTGGAGGATTAGCCTATTGAGCCACGGCACCGGCCGACAATCAGATATTTTATAGTATTCATTATTTACAGTGGCCACAAAACTTTCCAGCATAATTTACTAGTACCACTTTACAATCCCAAAGCCCTTAGATTAAAGCTTTAGTCTGACTCAACAGAGGGTCTAGCTAATAACTGTACTTACCACACGGATTCTGTGTCCAATGGCCTTCGCAGGAAGGTTGCTTCGGAATTTGGCACGAACCATGCCACTGTTTCCGTGAGCACGAGTTACCTTTCCCCAGATTACTCTGGTTTTGTTAGGTTTGCCGCCAGGAGTCACTGTGTTGCTGATTTTAAAAGCAAAGAGAAAAGACATAAGAATTCATGTAATCAATTTTGTCTGGTACAAACTCCTGTTGACCTCTAGGTCAGTCTCTTGACTCTGGTTACCCACTTAATCACCTGGAAAACTTCAAAAATGCATGAACATCACCACTTAATAGACAAGTACCTACCATATGGCTTGCACATTTGTAAAAAGAGCAGTTAACCACAGGACATCCAAAATAAACCAAGAGGGACACATGGAAGGGTATATATATGCACAGTCACAGAAAGTAACTGCAATTTTAAGCAGCCAGAGGACTCTCCTTAAGATGACAAAGCTTGGAAGGCAAGGGAACAGCCATAGTTTCCATGGTGAACATGACCAAAAGAGGGAGCCACATATGCTAGCTGAAGTGTCCCTGATTTGGGGAAGACTGAAGATACCAAAGGATGAATCCTAGTTGGCACAAGAGCAGAAACAGAGACTTCCATGTACACAAGCTCTTCAAAGGCCCTTTACAGACTTTTGGGGAGTGAACCATCGGGCAGAAGACCTCTTTCTCTCTCTCTCACTTTCAAATAAATAAATAAATATTTTTTAAAAAAACCATATATTTGAAAGACAGAGTTAGATATCTTCCATCTGCTGGGTCACTCCCCAAATGGCGGGAATGGCCAGGACTGGGCCAGGTTGAAGCCAGGAGACAAGAGCCTCTCCCACATGGGTGCAGGGGCCTAAGCACTTGGGCCACCTTCTACTGCTTTCTCAGGCCATTAGCAGGGAGCTGGATCAAAAGTGGAACAGCCAGAACTTGAACCAACACCCATATGGGATGCCAGCATTACAGGTGGCAGCTGTACCTGATATGCCGCAACGTGGGCCCCTTAATGACTTTGGTTCTTACTGAATATAAACCACTGGGGCATTAGACAACACAACAGTGGACTGATAATTTTAAAGGAGTACCCTGCCTGTAGGAACAAAAGGGTGATAAAGATGAAAACATTTCCCCAGAGATTTTAATGGTCTAGTGTGAACTGACATCTAATGTTCTACACGTAGTAACTTTAAGAACATAAAAAAATACTATTTAAGTATTTAACCAAATGAATTGAGAATCGTAACAGAATGAATTGGCTCCTTCCTTTAAACAATTAATAGCTAGTGGCTGGGCACTGTGAATTAGTAGGCTAAGCCTCCACCCCTGGTGCCGGCATCCCATATAGGTGCCAGTTCAAGTCCTGGCTGCTCCTCTTCCAACCCAACTCTCTGCTGTGGCTGGGGAAACAGCATATGGAGGCCCAACTGCTTGGGACCCTGCACTAGCATGGGAAACCTGGAAGAAGCTCCTGGCTTCAGAAGGGCCCAGCTCCAGCTGGGTGGCCATTTGTGGAGTGACCCAGCAGATGGGGGATCTTTCTGCCTTTCCTTCTCAGTCTGTAACTCTATACTTTATATAAAAATTAAAACACAAAAACAAAAAACTTACTTATTAAAAAACCAATTAACAGCTGCAATTTTTCAAAGTGCTAAACCACCACCACCCACAAAACACTCTGCTGTAACCTCTCATTTAGTTCCCTCAAAGACCCAAAACAGGGGCCACAACAGCACTTTACCAACATCTTAAAATATCAACAGCATTATAAACTTACTTCTTTGCTTTGTACACATAAGCACACCTCTTGCCCAAGTAGAATTCAGTTTCATCCCGAGCATAAACACCTTCAATTTTAAGCAGTGCCGTGTGTTCCCTTTGGTTCCGGAGACCTCGCTTATAGCCAGCAAAAATGGCCTTGCACCACAGTCTAAGACACAAGATACAGAACAGTGTATGAAAGCTGTTAAAGCATCTACAAACCACCAATATGATTTGACCCCAATGACTCCCGCCTACTTCGGTCAAGTCCGATTTCACTACGAGTATCTATAGCATCTGATTTTCTCTTCCAGCAATTTCGTGCTCTTTTAGGCCCATGTCTAACACGGAAACTACAAAGCGAGAACATTAGAAACACGTACCTTCCAGACATAGCTGCCTTCTAGAAGTCCTGCTCCCTGCAGGCCTTAAAGAAAAAAAAAAAAAAAAAAGACTCAGTTTAAAGCCGTGCCATGCCAATTTCCCACCTTGTCGTCCGTTTCTTAAGCCTGCTGTGTCCTTTTTGATCGGCACTCCACCTGGCCTGGCGGGGAACCTTAATTATGCTATAAGGTCTATACGAAACGCAGTCTGTCAAGACTTGCAAACTTCAGAATGGCTGTTACCTAATCAAACTCCAAAGACAGAAACTAAGCCAGGGCAACACACTGAAAGAGCCAACTCCTATAAACTTCAAGAGGAAACCCCCAAAAAAGAAACGAAAACTCAGGAAAGAATGCAGTTAAGCGCAGGGAAAAAACTTTTATGAATCGGCTTAGGACAGAAGAGCTGTGGAGATTACAGGTAAAAACATGTTTGGAGTAGAAGCAAATTGAAAACGCCCAACGTAAGCCGCTCACGTGCCAACTTCAGACCGACTGAGTGCATCTATTTCACATCGCTGAGCCCAGGAACCAAGTCCCATTACCGGGGCACCAGGTCTCCGGGCGCGAGGGGACCTGCACCATCGGCCCCACATCTCTTCCATCCCGTCCTCCCTCTTCCTGGAAACCATAGCAATCACTGGCTGGCAGGGCCTCAGAGCCGCACCAGACTCTCGTCAAGGTATATAGGTGAACCCAACCCGGTTATTTGCCTCCAAAGTTCAGCAGCAAACGCTCCACTCACCTCCACAGGCTCCAAGATGGCGGAAAGAGGAAGACGAGGCCCCGCCGCGTGGCCTTGTGGGATAAACACCTCCCCGCCCCGCCCCAAATTTAGGCATCTTCCGCGATCGCCAGAAAAACAAGCAGCAGAAATCATCTTGGGACTGAAGTGAACTACATTCAAGAGAACTTTTACAAATTCCTTTTCTAGGTCTTTCTATCTTTCTAAGCTGCAGTATGTATCATTTGGGAACAGCGGCGGGCAAGAAGACAGCCAGCTAAAGGAAGGGGGGGGAAGGTCCCCAAACTCGTGTCGCCATAGAAACAGGTCCGCTTGGTTCTCGGGTACGCGGATTCCGTAGGTGGAAAGGCGAAGACGTTGCTCTGCCTCAGGTGCCTAATGCCGGGGTTCCTTTCCCATCTATGACACGGGAGTAGGGCGAACGGAGACTCGCGTCCTACCCGAGTCTGGAAGAAAAAGGCCGGGATCGCGAAGGCAGGAGCTCTCCCTTCTCTTCACCTATGTTTTTACTTCTCTCCCCCTCTACTCCTTTATCTCTTGAGAAATGGCTAAGTCCTTACTTCTAATTGCAGCCTTCGTTTTGACTGAGGGGGTAAGGAGGCCTGCTCTGCCTGGGCCTTTATAGGAGAATGTTTGAGCTTCCCGCTAGAAGCTCAGGGTGGCCAGCGCCGCGCCCACGCGTGGTAAATCCTGGGTAGAAACTACAGTGGATGGATTAGTGGACAGCAGAGATTTAAGCTGCCTAACTTTTGCACATTTATCTGAGTTGCCCTGCGGATTCTTTGATTATTCAGCCAGTAGTTTACTGAATGACTACCGCTTACCAACATTTATTGTAGGTTTGAAGGGTACTGCAGCAAACCAACCAACCAGAAATCTCTGGGCGAGACCATGCGTCTGCATATGAGCCATTCGAGGGTAATACTTCCATGGAGAAAAATTCAACAGGCCACCATAGGAAGGCTTTTTGCCCTCCCATCTGAGGTTTCTGAAGATGGAGAGTGACTCTAGCTGATACCTGTTTTACCAGGATTCAACTGTGTTGACAAGGAACACAAGGGCGCCCGGGAGGCTGCTGTAATGATCCTAATGAGAGATGATGGTGTGTAGACAGGGCTGTTGAGTGCTGGAGTTCCTAAGGCATTTTAAATGTAACACTGGCAAGATTGGCTGATTAGTAAGTCACATTTAAGTCAGATCCTGTCTTAGGTACAGCAGGATAGGGCTTATGTCCCTTGTAGCCACCTGCCCCATCCCTTTTTCTCTGCCACAGAAATGTACTAGAAATCCCGCTCTTAAGAGATTAATTTCTTTAAAAAAAAAAAAAAAGATTTATTTATTTATTTGAAAGAGTTACACAGAGAGAGGAGAGAGAGAGAGAGAGAGGTCTTCCATCCGCTGGTTCACTCCCCAATTGGCCGCAACGGCTGGAGCTGCGCCAGTCAGAGGCCAGGAGCCAAGAGCTTCTTCTGGGTCTCCCATGTGGGTGCAGGGGCCCAAGCACTTGGGCCATCTTCTACTGCTTTCCCAGGCCGTAGCAGAGAGCTGGATCAAAGTGGAGCAGCCAGGTCTTGAACCAGTGCCCATATGGGATGCCAGTGCTTCAGACCAGGGCATTAACCCACTGCGCCACAGCGCCGGCCCCAAGAGATTAATTCCTTAAGGTTCTAAATGAAAGTCTTCCAGGGGAGAAGCATACATGAAGTGCAAGTTTCATTCATTTCACAAATCCTTATTGAGCACAGGGGCTGAAATGTAGAATCTGTCAGCATCATTGTCATGTTTCCTGGTCTGATGGAACTTAACGGCCTAGTGGGGGAAATTTACATAAGCATTAAAAATTGTGTGGCGAGCTGTGCTTGAAAATAGAGTGCTGTGAGTGCGTGAACAGAGGGCTCCTAGTGCAGCCTGATGAGTCAGAGCAGGTATCACTTGGAGGAAATGTCATCTAAGGTGTTTTTCAAACCATGGGTGATGAGCATTAATAGATTGTGATCATAATACTACTTTTTAAAAAGGTGTATTTATTTATGTGAAAGGCAGACACACACACACACAGAGAGACACACAGGTATTCCTAATGCTGGTTCACTTCCCTAGGTCTGGCCAGGGTAAAGCCAGGAGCCAGCAATCCCATCAGGTCTCCCATGTGGAGCCCAAGTACTGGGACCATTTCCCAGGTGCATTAGCAGGAAGCTAGATTGGAAGCAGAGTAGCTGGGACTCAAACTGGCACTCGTAGTTGGGATGCTGGTGTCACAAGCCAGTGGCTTGATCCTCTGTGCCACAATGCCAGCAAAGACGTAATTTTTATTCATTTATTTATTTCAGAGACAGAACTCCCATCTGTTGATTCACTCCCCCAGATGCCTGCAGTGACTTGGGCTGGTCCACCTGAAACTGTGAGCCAGGAACTCACTCCATGTCTCCCACGTGGGTGGCAGGAATTCAGTTAATAGGATCAGCACTGCTGCTTCCCCGGATCTATATAATAAAGCTGGAGTCAGGCGCCAGAGCCCAGTATTGAGCCCAGATGCTCAGATATGGGACACAGGTATCTTAACTGGAATCTTAACCACTAGGCAAAATCTACTGCCTGGGGTACTTTTTAAAAAATTAGTGAGATTTTGTTATTTATTTATTTACTTATTCAAAAGGCAGAGTGACAGAGAAAGAGAAACAGAGAGTTCTTCTATCTGCTTGTTCACTCCCCAAATGAACACAATAGTCAGGGCTGGGCCAGGCTGAAGCCAAGAACTAGGAACTCCATCTGAATCTCCTGTGTGGGTAGTAGTTACCCAAGTATCTGGGCCATCATCTGCTGGTTGCCCAGGCACACGAGCAAGAAGCTTTATCGGAAGCAGAGCCGCTGGGACTCAAGTCCTGCCTTTTGAATGCAGGATGCTGGAGTCACAAGTGGCAGCTTAACCTGCTAAGTTACAATGCTGGCCCCATAATATTTTTTAAATAAAATATGATAACTCAGAATTATCAGACTATCACACAGGGTAAATGCTTTCAATGAAACTCTTCTAGATGTTCACCCCTTATCAGAAATATGGTTACTGGCCAGCGCCCCGGCTCACTAGGCTAATCCTCCGCCTTGCGGCGCCGGCACACCGGGTTCTAGCCCCGGTTGGGGCGCCGGATTCTGTCCCGGTTGCCCCTCTTCCAGGCCAGCTCTCTGCTGTGGCCAGGGAGTGCAGTGGAGGATGGCCCAAGTGCTTGGGCCCTGCACCCCATGGGAGACCAGGAAAAGCACCTGGCTCCTGGCTCCTGCCATCGGATCAGCGCGGTGCGCCGGCCGCAGCGCACCGGCCGCGGCGGCCATTGGAGGGTAAACTAACAGCAAAGGAAGACCTTTCTCTCTGTCTCTCTCTCTCACTGTCCTCTCTGCCTGTCAAAAAAATAATAATAATAAATAAATAAACTTTTAATTCCATAAAAAAACATTCTGGAAACTTATTTCAGTATAAAGTGAAATTATCTATGAGTGTTATTTCTCCCCGTAAAGGCCATTTAAGCAGAAAGAATTTCAGTTTACTGAGGAGGCATAACATCTTGATATCAGTATTAAACTGATTTCCTTGATTAATACAATTTTCTAAAGCTAAATTCAATTCCAAGTCCAGATGCAATAAATTATCTGGCAGATCAGGAGAATAGAGTGATCTAATTGAATATTATAGATATTGGAAGAATAGAAAAATAAATAGAAATTACAAAAAAATTCAGACAACAATGAAACTTACTAAACCAGGGCGAACACTGTGGTGCATCAGGCTTAGCCATCATTTGGAAAATCAGTGCCTGGCTTCTCTATGCTTTGGATCCGAACTTCCTGCTAATGTGCCTGGAAGGCAGCAGATGAAGTCCCAAGTCCTTGGGTTCCTGCCACCCACATGGGAGACCCAGCTGAGGTTCCTGACTCTGGGCTTTGGCCTGGGCTAGGCTTAGCTGAAGGATGCATATGGGGAATGAACCCACAGCTGAAAGATCTTTCTCTGTGCCCCTCTCACTCTCTGTCACTCTGTTTTTATTTCTTTAAGATTTTATTTACTTATTTGATAGGTAGAGTTATAGACAGAGAGAGAGGGAGAGAGGGATCTTCCATCTGCTGGTTCACTCCCCAAATGGCTGCAATAACCAGGGCTGGGCTAGACTGAAGCCAGGAGCCAGGAGCTTCTTCCAGGTCTCCCACGTGGGTGCAGAGGCCCAAGTACGTGGGCCATCTTCTGCTGCTTTCCCAGGCCATAGAAGAGAGCTGGATCAGAAGTGGAGCAACTGACACTCGAACTGGCGCCCATATGGGATACCAGCATTACAGGCGGTGGCTTAGCCTACTATGCCACAGCGCTGGCCCCTTGTCACTCTGCTTTTCAAATAAATCTTTTCTTTAAAAAAAAAAAAAAAACACTAATGTTGGACATTAATGTACTTGAGGAAGCAATTTGAAGAGTGATTGTGTCTTCAGTTTGGTACGCCAGTAATTAAGCAGACCACTAAATAGACCTGCACCCCGCAGTCCAGTGGTTCTTTTGTCTCTGGGACTCCCAGACTGAGCAAAAAGAGGGAATAAGCCGGAATCCTTGTGATTCTTTAATTTTCTGTTAATGAAAGGGACCTAGAAATAACCGAAACATCATTCAGCACTCCCTTAAACTAATCTCAGTGTTTCCTTCCCATTTTAGGTGACTGCATTTTTTTGAATATTATAAACATACCATGGAGGATAACAAGACCAACTCAAGAAGAATGGAAAGGTATATTCAAAATCTCAGTTTATTTGTGTGTGTGTGTATTGCCTTCTAGGAAACTGTTGGGCATTACTTATCTTTTGCTGTGTAATAAATTACCCACAACACTTAGTGAGTGACTTCAGATATAAACATTATTATTTCACACTGTTTCTGGGGGTCGGGAGTTTGGGAACAGTTTAACTGAATATCTCTGGTTGGGTTCTGGAAAGATTGAAGTTGGCCAGAGGCTGCAGTCATCGACTTGGTGGGAGCTAGAGAGGGTCCATTTCCAAGATGGTTCATTTACAGAGCTGGCGAGTTGATGCTGGCTGCCAGTGAGAGCCTCCTGGTCACCTCCACAGTGTGCTCCCAATAACGCAGCTGGCTGGCTTCCCGCAGAGTGAGAGATGTGCAGGAGCCAGGCCAAAGCTGCAGTCTTCTGTCACCTCCCTTTGGAAGCCACACTCCGTAATTTCCACAATATCCTTTAAGTTACTTGGGTTACTGCTATTCAGTGTGACCAAAACTACGTAAAGGCATGAACCAGAGAGTGAGCATCATTTGGGCCACCTTGATGGCAGTCAAGCACATTCTGTTTTTCACTAATTATGAGACACGTTTAATTAGCACCTAAACATGTTGCTAGGAAAAAAAGCAAATTTTGGCTCAAATTCAAATTGATTAAGCATTGCCAAGTAGCAAGTGCTACTTGAATATATATTTTTTTAAATTTAGTTATTTAAGAGGCAAACGTACACACACACACACACACACACACACACACACAGAAACAGAGGCATTCATACCTGCTAGTTCACTCTTCAAATGCCTGCAGCAGCCAAAACCAGGAGCCAGAAATGCTATCCAGGTCTTCCATGTTGATGACAGACAATCACCACTGCCTCCAAAGTCTTCATTATCAGAAAGCTGGAGTCAGGAGCTGGGTATCAGACCCAGGTGCTCTGATACCAGAGACGGATGTCTCAGCTGTGAGGCTAAACACCCATGCTCTGTATAAGCTTATTAAAGGATATGTTGTTTGCCTTATGTTGATCAATATAGAAGGTATTTAGCAAAATCATATGCAAGCTCTTGCTTTTTTCTTATACTTTTATTTTTTATCCCAGTTGTAATACAATATGAACTTGATAGGAGCCAATCTGCACGCTGCCTGTGTTTTGAGTCTAAATAACACTTCAGCATTGGTCACTGACTTCTTTTTTCTTTCCTTAGAGACAGGCTGGAAGCCTCAAACTTGCCACCAAAACTTAGTCATTCTGAGGTGATGATGTCAGTGATAGGTGAACCGCCTACTGCTAAAGACAAAGAAGAAGAAACAAGGAAAGAAATAGGTGCAGAAATCGTAGATCAACTCTCTCTTCTTGATGTGCTGAGGATCTTAGCAGTCCTGGAAGATACCACAGACCAGCTCTCTATTATAAACTATATCATGCCAGTTCAGTTTGAAAGAAGGCAGAGCACCATCGTGGTATATATGCTCACTGTTACTTAAATTTGCTTTCTTGCCCTTTGATTTCTCTACCGCTTATAGTATATGATCTACTCAATTTAACTTGAGAAATAAGTTAGATAAGGGGTTACAGTAATCATTGGAGATAAGTATTCTCAGTTGATAGAGCAATATAGCCATAGCTCAAGGTACGTGACCAGACAGAATATCCTTTTCTGCTATATTGAATGGCATTATTTTGAGAGGCCTATAGTTAAGTAAGTATAAATACATGTAGAGCGTTCCTAATCCAAAAACCTGAAGTCAAAAATGTTTGCAAATCTGAGTTTTTTAGTGCCAGCAACTCAAAAATTTGAGATTTCAGGGCTAGGTATTATGATGCAGGGGGTTAAGCTGCTTGGTATACCCAGATCCCATATCCCAGTGCCTAAGACCCAGTCCTGTCTCTACTCCCAACCCAGCCCTCTGCTAATGCACTTGGGAAGGCAGCAGGGGATGGCCCAAGTGCTTGGGTTTTTGCCAGCCAAGGGGGAGACACAGATGGAATTTCTAACTCCTGGCTTCAGCTTGGCCTAACTCTGGCTTTTGCAGCCATTTGGGGAGTGAACCAAAGAGAAAAGATTCATTCATTCTCTCTCTCTCCCTCCCTCCCTCCTTCCTTCCCATCCTCCTCCAAGGACTTAGGCCATCTTCCACTGCTTTCCCAGGCCATAGCAGAAAGCTGGATTGGAAGTGGAGCAGATAGGAGTTGAACTGGTGCCCATATGGGATGCTGGCACTGCAGGCGGCGGCTTCACCTGCTACGCCACAGTGCTGGTCCCTTGAATAAATTTTTAAAAACATATTTTTTAGTGAATGGACTTGAACATTTAACTAGTTTATGTTCTCATGCAAAAGTTCATATTTATTTCTAGTAATCTGTGAATCATGCTGTGTAACATATTTGCTTCCTTTTCCATAAACCCAAGGATAAAGGTAGAGGAATAATTTTTAAGGAAATCAGAAAAATGGGATTAAGTTTTCCATTTTCCCTTCTCTTGATAGACAACATCTAAAATAATACCAATTATTTCTTATTGTTTCCATTTATTTCCCACACAGAGATGTTAAATAGTTGTCTAAAATTAATACAGTTTAGTAAGGGACAGAACCCAGGATTTGAACATGGAAATCAGGCATCCATGGAGTCCATATGCAATTGATCTTAAAAGCTCAGACTTTTTTAAAAAAATATTTATTTATTTGAAAGGCAGAGAGAGCCATAGGCAGAGATCTATCTATCTATGTATCTATCTATGTATCTATCTATGTATCTATCTATCTGCTGGTTCATTCCCCAAATGGCCACAGTGACCAAAGCTGGGCCAATCCAAAGCCAGGAGCCAAGAGCTTCTTCTAGGTCTCCTGGGCAGGTGCAGGGGCCCAAGGACTTGGGCCATCTCCCACTGCTTTCCCAGGCCACAGCAGAGAGCTGGATTAGAAGTGGAACAGACAAGACTTGAACTGGTGCCCATATGGAATGCTGGTCCTGCAGGTGGCAGCTTGACCTGCTATGCCACAGCGCCAGCCCCAAAAGCTCAAGCTTTTTAGCCACAGATTAAATAGGAATCATCAATTAAAAGACATATGCTGTTCCTAAGGTCCCTCAGTATACAAGTTTGGGTCTGAGAAAGAAATTAGTTTGGCTTTACCCTGCATGATCCTAAAAATCTATATCACACCACTAAATCTATCAGCTTCTGTTTTTTGATATAACTCACGTATTCAATGAGCATTTAAATCTCTGTGATAGCCTAGGCATTGTTCTAAGCAATGAGACCATAAAGATGACCACAATGATTTAACATCCAATCTTGTTCCAAAAAGTATTTGAAACTAGTCTTAAAAAAACAAACCAAAACAACAAGAGTTAGAAGTGGAGCAAGATTTCATAAGACATTCTGTCTTCCCTCATGGAACAGACTCCCGTACAGATCCTTTACATATAATTGCAGGATGGTAAATGCCTGCCAACAGAGATATTTCACAAAGACCTTTAGTTTTGATCACAGTCTTAAAGGTTACCAGGTGGTAAGATGGAGAATGACAGAGGGAACGTGGTGTGCAGGCAGGAGGACAAGTAGTTTGGTGTGGCTGAAGGAAAGGGCACGTTTCCTTGGAGTAGAGAGTTTAGTGGGAGAAGATAAGGTTGGGAATTGTATACAGAGGACGTGTTTCCTAGAATACCATCTCCTTTAATAAGTCTTTAACATCATTTATTATTAGAAAGACACAAGTAGCCTGGAAAAAGCGATGATCACAACAGCTATGAAAATGTCTAACCCATCCCCGCCTAAAGGACCCAAACTGCCAGAAATCAGACAAGGAGGCCAGTTTGCTGGAGAATATAACAAAACACAGGATTTCATCTTCAGAAAACCTACGTGGCAGACCATAATGACTATGGAGACTCTGAAGAAAATTCAGAATGACAGGTAAGGAAGGAGGGTGTATTTGGAAATAGGATGTTTTCTTTTTTTATATATAAAGATTTATTTTATTTATTTGAAAGTTACAGAGAGAGGTCGAGACAGAGAAAGAGGTCTTCCATCCGCTGGTTCACTCCCTAGATGACCACAATGATCCAAAGCCAGGAGCCAGGAGCTTCTGCCGGGTCTCCCACGTAGGTGCAGGGGCCCAAGGACTTGGGCCATCTTCTACTGCTTTCCCAGGCCACAGCAGAGAGTTGGATAGGGAGAGGAGCAGCCAGTACTAGAACCGGCACCCATTTGGGATGCCAGCGCTTCAGGCCTGGACTTTAAACTGCTGCACCACAGAGCAGGCCCCAAGATGTTTTCATGCATAAATGAGAGAATGGGTATAAGGATGACTGATGGCTGTCTTATCTTAGGGGTTAGTTTACCCAAAGTGACTTCTGATAATAAGATTGGATAGACTTCCTAGAGGCCATGTGATACAATTGAAAGCATGCTGGTCATGGCATATGCTGGTTTGAGTCGCAGCTGCTCCACTTCCCATCTAAGTTTCCTGCTAATGGCCTGGCAGGGCAGCAGAAGATGGCCCAAGCCTTGGACCCCAGCACCTACGGGAAACTTGGAAGAAGCTCCTGGCTCCTGGCTTCAGACTGGCTCAGCTCTGGCTGTTGAAGCCATCAGGGTAAACTGATCAAAGAAGGCAACTAGCTTTTTTTTTTTTTTTTAAGATTTATTTATTTATTTGAAAGGCAGAGTTACAGTGAGAAAGGGAGAGAGAGAGAGATCGAGAGAGCGAGAGAATCTTCCATCCACTGGTTCACCTGCCAGATGGCTGCAACGGCCAGAGATGGGGCAGTCTGAAGCCAGGAGCCAAGAGCTTCTTCCGGATCTCCCATGTGGATGCAGGGGCCCAAGGATTTTACCTGCTGTGCTGGCCCCGGCAGCTAGCTTTTCTATTTTCTTACCTTTCCTTTGTGTTTGGAAAATAACGATAACAACCTTGCAGCCTTAGTATAAGAATTAGAAATAAGGCTTAAGCTTAGAGACTACCTTCATGCTTTATCCATTAATGAGAGACAACCATTATCAAAGTAGCCAAATTCTAAACAGTGTTTTATTCTCGTGGTTTCTTTTTTTTTTTTTTTTTTTTTTTTTGGACAGGCAGAGTGGACAGTGAGAGAGAGAGACAGAGAGAAAGGTCTTCCTTTGCCGATGGTTCACCCACCAATGGCCACCACGGCCAGCGCGCTGCAGCCGGCGTACCGCACTGATCTGATGGCAGGAGCCAGGTACTTCACCTGGTCTCCCATGGGGTGCAGGGCCCAAAGGGCCCAAGTACTTGGGCCATCCTCCACTGCACTCCCTGGCCACAGCAGAGAGCTGGCCTGGAAGAGGGGCAACCGGGACAGAATCCGGTGCCCCGACCGGGACTAGAACCCGGTGTGCCGGTGCCGCAAGGTGGAGGATTAGCCTAGTGAGCCACGGCGCCGGCCAATCCTCGTGGTTTCTTTAAAGTGATCTCCATTTCCACTGTCTTATTAGGCAGGTTTTGTTTTGTTTTGTTTTTTGGTCAGCTGGCTGACTTGCTAACAAAGAAGTCTGTTAAGTTCTAAAGCAGGTGTAATGCTCAGATAATCACATTGGGCAAATGGGAGTTTATAGAAGCTACCCAGAGTCAACAGGTAAACTGACCCTGAAATCTGTGTCTCTGAAGTTTTATTGGAATGCAGCCTTGCCTGTTTGCATACACATTGTCAATGCTGCGTTCAGGCTACAGCACAGAGCTGAGTATGGCAACTGGGAAGTTAGTGGTTCAACAGCAAACATATTTACTGTTTGTCCTTTTCAGATAACATTTGCCAATGTCAATATTAGACCCTAACCAAAGATAATGACTCTTGCTAAAAAGAAATCTTTGACCCAGAAAAGTATCCCTATAAAAACTACCCAATCTTGGTAATGTCCTTTTTATTCCCAGTGTAGTAGACAAAGATTTTTCCTGAGAGATCTAAAGTACTAGTCTCAAGTCATCTTTAGGGAGAATCGAAAATGAATCTTGATGTGAATGGAAGGGGAGAGGGAGTGGGAGAGGGGAGGGTTGCAGGTGGGAGGGACGTTATAGGGGGGAAGCCATTGTAATCCATAAGCTGTACTTTGGAAATTTATATTCATTAAATAAAAGTTAAAAAAATAAATAAATTTAAAAAGTCATGTTTAGGGGATTAATCTTAGATTTATATTGTGTATGAAACCTAGTTGAGAATTGCAGGGCGGTGTATAATCATGAAAGGTACATCTCCATCAGTTATCCAGAATCAAAGTGGAAGTCAAAATAGCAAATGAATAAAAACTATTAATAGCTTATGAATCAGCCGGCGCCACGGCTCACTAGGCTAATCCTCCGCCTAGCGGCGCCGGCACCCCAGGTTCTAGTCCCGGTTGGGGCGCCAGATTCTTTCCTGGTTGCCCCTCTTCCAGGCCAGCTCTCTGCTGTGGCCAGGGAGTGCAGTGGAGGATGGCCCAAGTACTTGGGCCCTGCACCCTATGGGAGACCAGGAGAAGTACCTGGCTCCTGCCTTTGGATCAGCGCGGTGTGGTGGCCTTTGGAGTGTGAACCAACGGCAAAAGGAAGACCTTTCTCTCTGTCTCTCTTTCTCATTATCCACTCTGCCTGTCAAAAAAAAAATTTTTTTAAGTGATTTTACTTTTTTAAAATTATGGAAAATTTCAAAAATGTAGAAAAGCATAAAGAATAAAAAGAATGAATCTTATGTAGGTAACACAATAAAAAGAATGAATCTTATGTAGGTAACACCAAATTTTAACATTTTAGGATGTTTTTTTTTATAAGATTTTTATTTATTTATTTGACAGGTAGAGTTACAGACAGTGAGAGAGAGAGACAGAGAGAAAGGTCTTCCATCTGTTGGTTCACTCCTCAAATGGCTGCAGCGGCTAGAACTACGCCGATCTGAAGCCAGGATCCAGGTTCCTCTTCCTGGTCTCCCATGTGGGTGCAGGGGCCCAAGCACTTGGGCCATCTTCCACTGCCTTCCCAAGCCATAGCAGAGAGCTGGACTGGAAGAGGAGCAACTGAGACTAGAACCCAGCGCCCATATGGGATGCCGGTGCCGCAGGCAGAGGATTAACCTAGTGCGCCATGGCACCAGCCCCATGTTTTCTTTTTTAAGAAATGAAATATTTTGGATGCAGGGGAAACCTCAAATCCTGGTCCTGTCACTCTTCCCCCAAAGATAAACACTCTGCTGAATTTGATGTTTTTTGTTCTCTAGCACGTTGTGATACTTTTATGTGCTTATGTATTTTATTTAAATAACACACATATGGGGCTGGCATTGAGGCACAGTGGGTTAAGCCTCAGCTTTGACATTGGCACCCCATATCAAGAGTATTGGTTCAAGTTCAAGCTGCTTTGCTTCTGATTGAGCACTCTGCTTACGCATCTGGGAAGGCAGCAGATGAAGGCTCAAGTACTTGGGTCTGGGCCACCCATATGGGAGACCCAGATACAGTTCCTGGCTCCAAGCCTTGGTCTGTCCCAGAGCTGGCTGTGGCAGCCATTTTGGGAGTGAACCATCGAGTGGAGGATTCTCTCTCTCTCTTTCTCTCTCTTTACAACTCTCTCTTTTTCTCCCTCTGTTTCTCTCTCTTTGTCTCTCTCTGTCTGTTACTCTGTTGTTTAAATAAATCTTTAAAAAAGTGTACTTTTACCTGTTTTTGAATATTCTATGAATAATATCACAATATAGCCCTTGGTGAATATAGGGAAATAAATTTCATTAACTTACCTATTTTGTTTCTCCTCACAGGCGATTTTTCAGTAATATCATTACAAGTACCATGCAGGATTTGCAAGATTCAGGCACTTTCCCCAGCCTCCTGCAAGCTTTGAGCAGAGAGAGGGAAAACAAAAAGCACTTCTATGATGTCATTGCCAGGTGAGAATGATGCTGTGTTATTTGTGTTGATTTTTTTTTTTTTTTTTGACAGGCAGAGTGGACAGTGAGAGAGAGAGACAGAGAGAAAGGTCTTCCTTTGCCGTTGGTTCACCCTCCAATGGCCACCGCGGCCGCGCTGTGGCTCGTGCACCGCGCGGATCCGATGGCAGGAGCCAGGAGCCAGATGCTTTTCCTGGTCTCCCATGGGGTGCAGGGCCCAAGCACCTGGGCCATCCTCCACTGCACTCCCTGGCCACAGCAGAGGGCTGGCCTGGAGGAGGGGCAACCGGGACAGAATCCGGCGCCCCGACCGGGACTAGAACCCGGTGTGCCGGCGCTGCAAGGCGGAGGATTAGCCTAGTGAGCCGCGGCGCCTGCTGATGTGGTTTTTTTTTTTTTAATTAATTTATTTTTTTGACAGGCAGAGTGGACAGTGAGAGAGAGAGAGAGACAGAGAGAAAGGTCTTCCTTTTGCCGTTGGTTCACCCTCCAATGGCCGCCGCGGCCAGCGCGCTGCGGCCGGCGTACTGCGCTGATCCGAAGGCAGGAGCCATGTGCTTTCCTGGTCTCCCATGGGGTGCAGGGCCCAAGCACTTGGGCCATCCTCCACTGCACTCCCTGGCCACAGCAGAGAGCTGGCCTGGAAGAGGGGCAACCGGGACAGAATCCGGCGCCCCAACCGGGGCTAGAACCCGGTGTGCCGGCGCCGCAAGGCGGAGGATTAGCCTAGTGAGCCGGGGCGCTGGCCCAGCTGATGTGTTTTTAAGTGCTGTAAAATACTTGGCAAAAGTCCTTGCTTTATACAGCCAATCAAAATCTGTGCTTTCCAGGGAAGATAACCAGAATACAGAAATTTGGGTTCCATTCCCAGCTCTGCTGGGATAATAACTCAGATTTCTGAGCCATAGTTCTCTGTCTCTTCAATATGTCAAGAATATTCTATCTCCTATAGTAATCTTTCTTCAGACTGAGTTCACTAAAAATCTTTGAACAATGACAAGTACGTGCCAAGCAAAGTTTTCTTTTCTAGAATCATTCAACTTCTTTCTTTCTTTCTTTTAAAGATTATTTTGTTTATTTGGAAAGCAGAGTTGGGGCTAGGGAGAGAGAGAGAGAGAGAGAGAGAGAGATCTATCTTCCATCTACTTGTTCACTCCTCAAATGGCCACAGTGGCTGGTGCTGGGTTAGGCTGAAGCCAGGAACCTGGAACTGTGTGTCTCCCACCTGGGTGCAGGGGCCCAAGTACTTGGACCACCATATTCTGCTTTTCCAGGCACATTATCAGGGACTGGATTGGAAGTGGAGAAGCCAGGACTTGAACTAACACTCATATGGCATACCCATGTCACAGAATGCAGCTTAACCCACTGTGCCATAACATCGGCCTTACTTTCAACTTATTTCAGAGATTTTCATGCTGTGTGAATACTCAACACAGTCAAAATAGCTTGGGACCAAGATAAAATTCTGTATATATTAACCCTATATACTCAGATTGCAGAAGTGTTTATCTTGTCTACAGAAGTGTCTTTGTTTTTCCTTAAGTTGTTTTCCTTTTCTTCCCTCCTAGTATCAGTCATAAGTTCTGTACTACAGTTATTATGAACATTAGATTAATACACATTAAATATATAGGATAGTTCCTGGCATATAGTAAATGCCTAATAACAATAATAGCTACTATTTTGATCTTAACCTTCATTGCTTTTAAGGAAGAAGAAAATGTGCACTTGTATTTATTGCTGGTGGGAGAATGAATTGGAACAATATTTTGAAAAGTATTTATAAAAATAAAAATATATACATCGAAATTCAATTTTATAGTATTTTGTACCATTCCATAATTTATTTAACTGTTTTTGGAGTTTGAATTTTTAGGTTGTTCCCAACTTTTTGCTATAGCAGCAAATAATGCTTTAGTGTTTGTCTTGGTACATAATATATATCAGCAAATGTCTAAATCTGTTATTATATTGGGTTGAATCACTAAATGTAGAATTACAGACTCAGATAATCTGTACATTAAAAGAAGATACTGTAGAGCTGCCATAAGTATTGTTTACAAAGTTTAATAACTTGGGGGAAATGTTTATGCTACAATTTTAAGTAAAATAAAGCAAGGCTGAAAATATTAACACATCTATACAGTAAAACTTAAAAAAATATGGGTAGAAAAATAACTTGAAGGAAGTATACCAATATATTAATAATATAGTAGTTTTTAAAAATATGTATATACTTGTATTTGAGAAGTAGAGAAAGAGAGAGACAGGGAGGCTAGGGCTGGGCCAAGACGAAGCTAGGAACCAGGAACTCCATCTGGGTCTCTTCTCTTAGGCAGGGGCTGTCTGCTGCTGCTTTCCCAGGCACATAAGCAGGAAACTAGATTGGAAGTGGAACAACTAGGATTCAAACTGGCACTCTGGTATGAGATGCTGGCATCACCAGCAGAGGTTTAACCCGGTGCCCTGCAACACTGGCCCCGGAACTTCATCTTTTAAAATATGCAATTCACTGATGTTTGGTACATCCCCACTGAGTTGTGCAGTCATCACCACTAATTCCAGAGCATTTTCACCATCCCCCCAAAGTCACTGCCCCTCCTACACTCCCCATCCCCACCAGCCTCTTTAGTTCAGTGGTAGTCCTCTTACTGCAGAACATAATTTTATAAATAAAATAAAAAAAGAAAGAGAGAGAGAAAGAATGGGAAATAAAGCATTAATGTGTAACTAGAGGGGTCAGTGCTGTGGTGTAGCAGGTGAAGCCACTGCAGTGCTGGCCTCCCGTCCAGGTGAGGTTTGAGACCCAGCTGCTCCACTTCCCATCCAGCTCTCTGCTATGGCTTGGGAAAGCGGTAGAAGATGGCCCAGGCCCTTGGACCCCTGCACCCGCATGGGAGACCCTAAGGAAGCTTCTGGCTCCTGGCTTTGGATCTGTGCAGCTCCGGCTGTTGGAAGATAGCCAAGCACTTGGGCCCCTGCCACATATGTGGGAAACCTGGATGGAGTTCTTGGCTCCTAACTTTAGCCTGGCCCAGCCCTGGCTGCTGTGGGAATTTTGAAAGTGAATCAGCAGATGGAAGATTGATCACTGTCTCTGTTGCTGTGCCTTTCAAATAAATATTTTTTAAAGGCACTTGTTTGTTTAAAAAAAGAGAGTGCATATAACTGTGTTAAGAGAAAAACTTAGTGTAAAAATTGTATATGTGATGTAAGCCCAGTTTTGAAAGAGAAAAACTGTGGTGTGTAGTGACTAGAAAGAAATACACTGATCCTTTGTTACTCCCGGGGATTTGGTTCCAGGACCCCCTGTGGATACCTTAGTCTGGATATTCAAGCCCATCTGTAAAATGATACAGTATTTGTGTATAATCTATGTATATCTTCCTGTGTACTTTAAACCATCTCTAGATTACTTACAATGACTCATGCAATGTAAGTGCCATGAAATAAATGTCTGTACATCTTTAGTATGGACACAACATTTTTTCCAGAAATTAAATTATTTACTTATTTTCATCTATTTGAAAGGCAGAGAGACAGAGAAATATATCTTCCATATCCTATAGTTCACTTTCCAAATGTTCACAATATCTGGGGCTGAGCAAGTCTAAAGTCAGGAGCCCAGAACTCAAGCTGGGTCTCCCACGTGCTGCCTCCAAGGTACGCATTGGCAAGAAGCTAGATTTGGGAATGGAGTCAGAACTTGAACTCAGGCACTTGATGAGAATGTATGTTGTCCCTTTCTCCAGATATTCTTGATTAGCAGTTGGTTGAATCCATGGATGCAAAATTCCTGAATATGGAGGACATATTGAATAATAAAATTTTAACCATAGTAAGATAATGGGTGAATTTCTTTTTTTCACTTTTTTTTCATTTTCTAGGTGGTTTTTTTTTTTTTTTTTTTTTTTTTTTTTTTTTTTTTGACAGGCAGAGTGGACAGTGAGAGAGAGAGAGAGAGAAAGGTCTTCCTTTGCCATTGGTTCACCCTCCAATGGCCCCCGCGGCCAGCGTGCTGCGGCCGGTGCACCACGCTGATCTGATGGCAGGAGCCAGGTACTACTTCTGGTCTCCCATGGGGTGCAGGGCCCAAGCACTTGGGCCATCCTCCACTGCACTCCCTGGCCACAGCAGAGAGCTGGCCTGGAAGAGGGGCAACCGGGACAGAATCCGGCTCCCCGACCGGGACTAGAACCCGGTGTGCCGGCGCCGCAAGGTGGAGGATTAGCCTAGTGAGCCGCGGCACCGGCCATTTTCTAGGTTTTCTAAAACAGGCATATATTCTCTCATAATCTCATGTAAATGTTTGTTTAAATGAACCTGTGTTTGAGATGCTGATTTTAATAGTAGAGGTCAAGTTTTTATTCTGCATTTATAAATCTTGCAATTTATAAATGGGAAGAACATAATCTATCATTTGTTTTGGCAATGCGAATTTCAGGAGTCAGGTATGTGCTTTCTAAAAACTGCTGGGTAAAACTGCTTACCTAAATGCAACTTAGTGGTAAGTTGTTCTTGGTTGTTGTTGTGTTTATTCTTGTATTGTTTTAAGTCTAAATACTGGAATTGCTAGAGAGATGCGCAGTTCCATTTCTCTAAGAAAACTGAAACAGCAATGCGAATAGTTCCGTTCTGGGGTTCTGGTGTTACACTGTACTGCATGTCAGCTCCATTCTGCTTTTTGCTGTCTGTGAAACCACGGCAAGTGTGTTAGTCCAGGTCTTCTAAGACACAGAGGCCATGCTGGGATTATTCATGCAGAGGTCTTATCAGAGAGAAAATGGAAGACTGAGCCCAGGTGAGGGAGGGGCAGGCTGGGCACAAGAGACAGCTGTGCAGTTCCAGCACGTGTCAGCAAGGTCACCAGAGTCACAGGGTCCATATCAGCCTGAGACCCTGGCTGTCCCGGGAGGGGCCTGCTCCTGGGGTGGGAGCAGAGTGTGGCCTGTTCCCAGGGTAGCTTCAGAACACGCACAGTGAAGATGCCCACAGCCTGGAAGCGGGGGCCCTGTGCACTCTCTGGCGCTCTCCAGCTGGGGGCCTGTATGGCACATTCTCAGGTCTGCACAGCAAGCTGCCATTGCCTTCACCACGTGTTCCTCATCTGTGAGAGAGATGGTGACAGACTAGCGCGGAAGGCTGCGGGGAAGCAGGAGCATGGCATTAACGTGCTCGGGATGGAAAAGAGTCTCCTTTGTCCTCTGGGTCTGTGTTTTTTCTCAGAGGTGACTATTTTAGATGCAACACTGATTAGACAGAAAAGTCTTCCTCCACTACAGCAGATCACAGGGTAATGTTAGTGAACGTGTGCTCAGTGGACCAGCACTTTGGGCATCACCTGGGAGCCGGTTACAGCTGCAGGGCCCAGAGCCCCCTCCCTGACCTCCAGAGTCAGAATCCGTGTGTGGGTGGGAGGGGTGGGGTGTGGCTGGCGCTGGCTTTGAAGGGCCAGGAAGTCTTCATCCTGCACAGGCAGTTTGAGAAGCACTGCTCTAAACACAAATCATTCTTATTACTTCTAGGGAGGAAAAAGGAAAAAAACAGATAAAATCTCTTCAAAGGCAGCTGGTGAATGTCAGAGAAGAACGGCAAGCTGAAGCTCAGGTAAGAATTACCTGGCCAGCGCCAAAATTACGGAACTAAAGCCGCTGTACGGAGGCCATCTCTCTCAAGCAAGGAGAAGTTATGTATGAAAAATGGTTGTGACGACTGCGGCGGCTTTACCATTGGAAAATAAAGAGAGCAACTGGAGAGCTGGCCTGTTGGGAACAGAGTTCCTAGAGCCCCTCGCCTGCTGAGGCTCTTAGTCTGCTACCGCTCGTATCTCCCACTGGCCACACCGCCCACTGCTTCCTTGCCTGGCCTCAGGTACTCTCCCGTAGTGTAACATCCCAGATGGGAAAGTAAGACTGCTGAGCAATTACAAACTCCCTGACACATGATGCTGAGGTGTAGCGATGTCCTTAACCATCATGACCACCTTTTATTTTCTCTTTCCACAAACACTTTTTGGTAACGACACTCACCTTCTTGGGTTACATTCTCAGCCCTTACGTCCAGCCCAAGTAAACTGAAGCAGAATATCACTCAGATGTGTTGTTCATCAGCAAAGGGACAGGTTAAGAAACCAGCGCTGAAGATCCAGGGCAAATCTTAGAACGAAAAACATTGATTAAGATGAAATGACACTAAATCCTTAGAGTTACTAAAAACCAGTGGTGCGGTTAAGCTTGGGAAATAAGATTAGGAAGTACTAAGAGACCAGTGGGACACAAAAGGATGCCAGCAATTAGGATGACCAGCTTGTGTGTGTCGAAGTAGGTGTGGTCACTTGGACGTAAAGGAGCAAATGCCCAAGATCAGAAGCTTCCTGACGATGCCCTAGGTAAGAAGTCGTGGGGCCGGCATTGTGGTGCAGTGGGTTAAGCCTCTGTTGGCAATGCTGGCATCCCATTTGGAGTGCTGGTTCGAGTTGCAGCTGCTGCACTTCGTTTTTTTTTTTAATTTTTTTTTTAATTTATCTGACAGGTAGAATTATAGACAGTGAGAGAGACAGAGAGAAAGGTCTTCCTTCCGTTGGTTCACTCCCCAAATGGCCGCCATGGCAGGCTCTGCGCCGATCCGAAGACAGGAGCCAGGTGCCTCCTCCTGGTCTCCCATGCGGGTGCAGGAGCCCAAACACTTGGGTCATCCTCCACTGCCTTCCCAGGCCACAGCAGAGAGCTGGACTGGAAGAGGAGCAACTGGGACTAGAATCCAGCACCCACATGGGATGCCGGTGTCGCAGGCAGAGGATTAACCAAGTGAGCCACGGTGCTGGCCATTGCTGCACTTCTGATACAGCTCACTGCTGATGTGTCCGGGAAGGCAGGGGGTGATGACCCAAGTGCTTGGGCCCCTCCCGTGTGCTAACTAGTATGGAGTTCTGGGTTTCTGGCTTCAGTGGCTGTTGTAGCCATCTGGGGAGTACACCAGCAGATGGAAGATCTCTCTGTCTCTGTCTCTGTCTCTCTCTCTCTCTCTGTCAGTCTGCCTTTCAAATAAATAAGTAAATCTTTAAAAGAAAAAAAAAAAAGAAGTCACAAAGGAAAAAAAATGCATTGCTGTCAAACTACTGAATGTCAGAATACCCAGCAAGGTAACGACAAAGCAGCATTTTTATGAAATTGTAATTGTAAAAAAAAAAAGAGGGGGGAGGGCTGGCTCCATGGCTCACTTGGTTAATCCTCCGCCTGCGGCACCAGCATCCCATATGGCCACCGGGTTCTAGTCCTGGCTGCTCCTCTTCCAGTCCAGCTCTCTGCTGTGGCCCGGGAAGGCAGTGGAGGATGGCCCACCCAAGTGCTTGGGTGCCTGTACCCGCATGGGAGACCAGGAGGAAGCACCCGGCTCCTGGCTTCAGATCGGCGTAGTTCCAGCTGTGGCGGCCATTTGGGAGTGAACCAATGGAAAAGGAAGACCTTTCTCTCTGTCTCTCTCTCTCACTGTCTGTAACTCTACCTGTCAAATAAATCAATAAAATCTTAAAAAAAAAAAGAGGACAAAGGTCTATATGCAGAAATTGTTTTCATACATCAGCAACAGATTTAGAATAGGAAGTTGAACAAATATATTGTTTACAATAGCATCAAAAGTATCAACTATCCAGCTTTCACTTCAGTACCCCCATTACATCAACAAAGTATGCAGAACGTCTTCACAAAATACTATAAAACAGTATTGAAAATTAAATAATAAATTAGTGGAGAGATAGACTGTTCTTGCTTATGGATTGGATGAATCAATATTATAAAGATGTCAGTGCTTCCAAACTTGATCTATAAATTAAATACAATCCCAATCGGAATCCTGATTGGAATCTATTTATTCATTTATTTTACTTTTTTATTTATTTTATATTTTTATTAAAAATTTATTTATTTATTTGAAAGTCAGAGTTACACAGAGAGAGTAGAGACAGAGAGAGAGAGAGAGAGAGAGAGAGAGGTCTTCGATCCAATGGTTCACCCCCCAATTGGTCACAATGGCTGGAGCTGCACTGATCCAAAGCCAGGAGCCGGGAGCTTCTTCCGGGTCTCCCATGTGTGTGCAGGGGCCCAAGGACTTGGGCCATCTTCTACTGCTTTCCCAGGCCATAGCAGAGAAATGGATCAGAGGTGGAGCAGCCAGGTCTCGAACCGGTACCCATATAGGGTGCCGGCACTTCAGGCCAGGGCGTTAACCCTCTGCACCACAGTGCTGGCCCCTATTTTACTTTTTTTAAAGATTTATTTATTGAGGGTGGCGCTGATTTATTTATTTATTTATTTATTTATTTGAAAGGCAGAATTACATACAGAGAGGCAGAGAGAGAGGGAGAGAGGTCTGCCATCTGCTCGTTCACTTCCCAAATGGCCTCAACAGCTGGAGCTGCACTGATCTGAAGCCAGGAGTTAGGTGCTTCTTCCGGGTCTCCCACACAGGTGTAGGGGCCCAAGCATTGGACCATCTTTCACTGCTTTCCCAGACCATTAGCAGAGAACTAGATCAGAGTGGAGCAGCTGAAACATGAACTGGCGCCCATATGGGATGCTGGTGCAGCAAGTGGAGGCTTTGCCCACTATGCCACGGTGCCAGCCCCTATTCATTTATCTTTAAGAAACTTGACACACTCACTCTAAAATTTATACACAAGTACAAAGGGCTAAAAATAGTCAAGACTATTGGTGGGGAACAAGGGGGATGGAGTTGCTTTTTAGAAGTGCCGCGGCTCAATAGGCTAATCCTCCATTTGCAGCGCCGGCACACCGGGTTCTAGTCCCAGTCGCTCCTCTTCCCTCTTCCTGTCCAGCTCTCTGCCATGGCCCGGGAGTGCAGTGGAGGATGGCTCAGGTGCTTGGGCCCTGCACTTGCATGGGAGACCAGGAGAAGCACCTGGCTCCTGCCATCAGATCAGCACGGTGCGCCGGCTACGGCGCCATTGGAGGGTGAACCAACAGAAAAGGAAGACCTTTCTCTCTATCTTTCTCTTTCATTGTCCACTCTGCCTGTCAAAACTAAAAAAAAAAAAAAAAAGAATTATTATATAGCTGTACTTATTAAAACAGTGTCTACTGATGCAGGGATTGACAAATAAGAGCAACTGAACCAAATAAGAACCATTACAGGTTTTGACAGAGATTGCACTGTCATCATGTGGGTGAGAAGTCTTCATCCAGGTGCTTGTCTCCGAAGCAAGAAAGAGGAGATGTAGGTAAAGGTCAGCAGAGGAACAAGATTTTTTTGCATGAAGAATGAAAGTACACACTGAAGTGGGAGTGCAGGGACACATGAAGGTGAGGTTCACTCAGTGAGACTTGGGTTGGACCTGTATATGGAGGCATAGTGGGTGGTACCTGGACAGGGCTTACTTGAATATTTATAGGGAGCAGAATCTAGGGCAGAGTTTGAGTACTGCCGATTTCCTTGCCCTCTTTTGGAAATCTCTGAAGTGTCATGGCATCAAGTGCATGACGGGAGTAGGCATGTTGGCCATTGTAATCTTATTAGAATGCTGTTGTAATTAGCTAAAGGTCACTGTGGAGATGCAGTCAGTACCCATCTTGGTTCTCTTTGGCCAGTGCTGGTTCAGGGCAGCAGTTTTGCAGAAACTGCAGTTAGTTCCCCTCTGCATGGAAGGCGGGGGTTTGGTCAAAGAAGGCAGGGCTGCAGGGAAAGCTTGCAAAGCCACAGGAAGTACATGCTTGAGAGGAAGTGTGGAGGTGCACCCAACAAGGTACACGTGCGAGGCAGGGAGCAGATTATGGACAGCCTTACAAGGCAGGCTTTTCTGGGCAAACATCATCAGCGAGGGCCATGTAGGTGGGGAAATTCACCATTTAAGAAATTTGTGTTGTCCTTGAGTCAGGGTTTGGAGCCGTGTTGAATTTCTAAGCCCTTTCTTGGCCTGATAGTGCTACATTTAGACTACCCGGACCTATGACTTTTCTTGAACCTTGAGTTTCTTAAAGTAGTTGCCTTTACCTCACCTTGCTGCCTCCAGCATATTCAATAAAGCTTTCCAGTGCCGGAGCTGCCACTGAAGTATTTAGTGTAGGGAAGCTATTACCAAAATAAGCTGGGACAAGCACTGTGGCTCAGCAGGTTAAGCTGTGGCTTGTGATGCTGGGATCCTACATCGGAGTACCAGTTCCAGACTTCTCACCCAGCTTCCTGCTAATGCACGTGGAAAGGAAACGGGTGATGGACCAACTACTTTGGCCCCAGCTACCCATGTGGGAGATCCAGAAGGAGCTCTTTGCTTCTGGCTTTAGCCTGGCCCAGCCCTCCAGGCCATACTCCATTTTTCTCCTCTGGGCACCCGTTTGCATGTTGCCCAGCTCTTCATGCAGCTCCTCAGCCTCGTGCCCTCTAATGATTCTTCCCGCTTTTTTGTTTTTGTTTTTCCCAGATGTAGCATGAGTTTCAAAGAGAATAAGTGGAGGTAACTGTGATGATCTGTAGGCTCCAAGATGGGTTAAAGAGTTAAATGAAGATAGAAGGCATGCTGGCTAAATTTGTAGGTGGTACAAAAGTGTGATAAGTATTAGATATCAGAACGCAAAATCCCATCAAGGAGTGAAACA